ATGAAATTGAGTTTTATTATTAAACGCCCGGGGGCAGCGGGCAATCAGCTCAGGAATTGATTGTAAGCTTAAGCGCAGCGGAAGCAGTGTCCTATAAAATGTTTAACTTGATACCCAAGATGTATGTATGCAAAATCTTTTTCTATTACTCTTATTTTCTTTTCATATTATTTCCTGGAGATTTTCTAATTTATTTTAATTCGAGTGCCAGCGAAATTGCCACGATGCTATCAAGGCAGCCCCTCTGCACCTTTCCTGTGTGTTTCTCATAATTCAGACCCCGTTCGCCGGCAGAATTCCCCGACCTGGTCAGACAAACTTTGCTGAACTGGGGGAAATCTTTCAACTTTGTCTGGGCTTGGTCCGGGGAAAGTGGCTGGCCATTTCTCTTTTCACCCCCCACAGCCTTAAAATCGCACTTTGAACCACTTTGGTGGCGTTTATTGATTCCAATGATGACCCCAAATTGCAGCAATGAAAGTTGACCACGCAGCTGGGGCCTTCGCCATTTGGGGCAGGCGGAAATGGGAAATGGAAAATGGGAAATGAGGCGGGGCTGCCTCCCCAGCAAGGTGAAACCGAGCCGTAGGCCTTGACATTTTGTGCCCTTTGGCGATTTTACGAGAGCTTGGCAAAGTATTTAATTAAAATGAAACGCAATCACACGTGGGTGTACCATATGTATGTACCATATATAGGGGAGCTCACTTAATCCATCTGCACTTCGGGGGAATACCTTCGCTGCTGCATTTTGCGGCAATAAATTCAAAACCAACTGCGTGTGATGCTCAACAAACTGGCAACTAACACACAGATACACACTGTGAGGCAAGGGGGTATGGGTGCAGACACACACACACAGGCACTCGCCCGGAAACACTCATACGCAGTGTGGCCCAGTGCAGTGCTGATCTCTCCTGTGGGCTCCTCTGCACATTTTTGTTACCAAGATTTTAGCTGTCAGCAAGTTGGGCGACTTAATTTGAATTTACGGCACCGCCAGGGGCGTACTCCCCCCTCTCTCTGGGGGCCTAGCTATTATTTTGCACAAACAGTATTAAATACTAGGTTCGGGTTCTGTTCTGGTTCTGGTCCCCGTTCTGGTATAGTCCTGCTTCTATCTCCTTGCTCCTGCTCTCCAGGTCGAGGTCTGTCCAAGTAAACCTGTGTTCGTGCCTGCTCCATGGCTCCACGGCTTCCTGGTTCCATGGCCCAGTGGGTGTGTGCCGCTTGGTTGTGCGTTGTGTGTGGGTGACAATAATATTCAAATTCCACTCTGTTGCAGTTCCACTGCCTTCGGGCAGCGAGCAGTGGGCGTTGGGCGGGTAATGGCCGCTGGGCGTGGCAATGACACTTTTACACTCCATATATCTGCCTAGGAAGTCGCCACTATCCCGGTTACCCTTTCAAGTGCACCGAGAAAAGTGGCTTAAACAAACAACTAATCGTTATAGAACATTTTAAGCATAAGTTATAACAATTACTTTAAAAATATCAATGTAGACAAGGGATTTTTACTTCGTTTTTACTTACAAAAGTATCTTGGACTTTGAAAAACCACAAGATCTCCTAAATTTGTAACATCTATCAAATTTGTATATCTGCTTTTTATATATTCAAAACAAATTATAAAAAAATCATATAAAAATGTGGTACTTCTCTAATATTTATAATTTCCTATGAGTTTCTTTCTGTTTTAATGGTAGCATGATTTTTATAACAATTACAAAAACCCTTCAAGTAAATTCTAGCTTTGGTCAAGTGTACGACCCGACTTACCACTCAAGCTGACCTATTTAAATGTAAACTTATTTTCAAGTCTAACCAAAGCATTTACTGCCTCCTTACTACTGAGTGGAAACATTTTATTTGGCCCGGAAAATAAATATAAATATGTTTGTGGTATATTTATGGGCCAGGCACTACTTTCTGCGAGTGCATTTCTCAAGCCCCGCCTGCGTTTTCATATTTATGTGTCTCCTGATAGCGCCGCTGCAGTCAAAAGTTTTTCTTCTAGCTTTCGGTTGTGTGTATATGCTAATACTTTAGCGCACATGGCAGGGCGCTATTATCGCGACTGCCACTTGGGCGTCGAACTTCCGCTCTGCTCCTGGGGCGCTCCTCTTTCTGGCCAGGATGGAGATGGGAATGGAGCTGGGAATGGGAATGGGAATGGAGGGCAGGATCTCCGGGCACTGAGCTCTCGGCACTGAGCCCTCAGCTCGATGGCAGCCCAGAAGCATTTGCAATTTCGGTTTGCATTCGAGAGCTCCAGTTTCCCTCAGTCTGCTCGCTCTGCTCACTCTGACTGTTGTAAAATGAATTTTACTTCATTTTGATATGTTCTCCCAGCTGGTTTTAGCACCAAGCACATAAATACTTGGGGGATGTGTGGGGCGTTCAGTTTGTTTTGCCACTATCGCAATGATAATAAATTTTATTAATCTCGTCGTCGCCCACACGCGGGGCAAAACAGCAACTGGAATGGATGGGGGAAGCTCTGGCTCTGGCTGATCAAGTGCTCAACTAGTCGAAGGCATTTGTAAACGCGGTCGCCGACAAGGAGGAGAAAGGACGAAGGAGCACCCGTCGGCGTCCTGCCACTTATTTTCATTTACATTTCGTGGCAGCTGCCGCCGGAAGACACTGCATGCCGCCGCTGCAGCTGCCACCACGCTCCCGAATTTATTATGTAATTATTGTTGTGCATTCTAATTGCGTGGCACATTTATTTGGCTTTCATTTCGCCCACTTGCGGGGAGCTCTTCCCAATTAGCCGAGCAGCAATTAGCGATGCTGGAATTGGCGAAAAACATGTTCCGATTATCACTTTGAGGGCCAGTTCGGCATTTTATTTAATTATAAATTTTAAAATAAAGTTAAGTAAAATTTAAGTATTCTAAGATATATAGCAAGAATTTCATTTAAATTGAATAGTTTTATCTGTTCGCTCTTTAATTAAAATGTAAAAAATGTTATCAAGATAGTACAAGTTTTTCTTTATGGCCTTAAAGAAACCTAAGTTTCCTGGTAATAGGAACAGCTTTTTTTGCCCACTTTCTTTGGGATTTCACTAGACATTTTCTCATGACTTAATGATGACCTCGTTCGCTTTCCATTAGTTCCGATTTGACCCACTGCAATGGGAGTTACCAAACTAATCAGCCCACTTTCAAAGCGGCGACCAGAAAATAAAGCCACCGCCCTGAGCGCAACTAAATCCCAGGGAAATCTCCGCTGTTCCAAAAACCAGGCTTACTTACTGTATATATATATATATGTGGTCCGCGCCACTCGTGCAGAAGCGAGCCCAACTGGCTAATCAAAAATTTATTTAATTTCTTGGCCACTCAAAGGCTGGCTGGTGAAAGTGCGTCCTGGCAACGTGGCATCCTGGCATCCTGGCATCCTGACATCCTGGCCGAAACCCCCCAAGACAGGGGGCGGTGGTCAGTAAATGCCGGGCATCAAATTTGATGATGTCAACCATGAGCCGGTGCGCTGTCCATGTCCTGTGCTGCGGATCCTGTGACTGCGGGAAATGCAGTCTAAAAACCAACAAATGCCGGAAATGCGCCGCTGCAGATGCCGCAGCTATTGCGATTAAACTTTCCGCATTAAATATTTCGCCCGGGCCCGCCAACGAAGTTGGTTGTCCTGTGTTGCAAGTGGAACTGGGAGCTGGGAGCTGGGAACTGGGAACTGGAAACTGGGACGCCGGGCGGATGTTGCGGCTGCCTTTTCGCCAAATCTAATTGCAAATTTCATGTACATGCCCTGCCGATGGGCCACGCCCACTCGACAACTATATAAACACTGTGGCCACGGGCAACTGTCATTTTTTTTTTGTTGGATGCTGCTGTCTTGTTCGCGTTTCCCGTATGGCTGCAGTAAATCATGAAATTTATTTAGCAACATGCGCGCGCGTCCAGAAGTTCCGCAAAAAGCCGGCTAAATAAATTGCACAAATGTTGTCCGCACTTCGAGTGGCTGGCAGTGGATGTTGCCACCAACTTCCTTTCGACACAAAATTCTGCCTCCCCGGGGCGAAGTGTCATTAATTTTGATGTGTTTTTAATTCGGTTTTGTTGGGCTAACTCATTGACAAAGCCTCGAAAGAACACACGCCTCAGAGAGAAAGAGCGAGTGCCGCATGGAAATGCTGTTTGGGATTTAATTAAAACTAATGAAAACTTTGCTCCTCTTCGCCCCATTGTGGCCCCCTGCAGCCAGCAGTCAATCTTGCAATTTCTGCTCAACGACAAATGACAAGAGGCAGGACTGGTTTTAAGGTCCTGCAGCAGGACAATCTGCCAACTGGCACAAGCCAAGCCGAGCACTTGGCCGACATTTCCCCAAATCCAGACCAAAAGTGGGTGCTTTTATGGGGCTGGAAAGGGGAGACCTTCAGATTCGACCTCCGGGCGAGATGACAGAGGAAAGTTGAAAACACTTTGGCCACAATTGCGCAAACCGAACAAAATGAGCTCCAACCACGCACTCGAGGCCACCTCGGAAATGAGCAATGAAAGTGCGTGGCCGTGCAATTAGACAACTCCTCCAGGAAGTGGCCAAGATGCAACTTTTATGGCAGGAAACCAGGGAAAAAGGTGCATGATTTTGGGCTAGTGGTTGGTTAGTAACCACGCCCTTGAATATAACATAATTTTATCTGTTTAAAGGATAAAACAATAAATTCGTTTAACAGCCTAATTGAAAATGTGAATACTGATAACATCTCCGTAATTATTGTTTTTTTTCTGATGAATTTAAATTGCACATAAACAATTTAAAGCTTTTGTTTAATGGCATTGAACAACGATAAAACAAATATTAATTGGGATGCGTAAGATAGTGTTTAATCACTTTTAAGGTCAATTTATAATGATAAAACATGAACGAAAGCTAATTTTTATATAATTTGTTAAGTATTATTAGATTTAGCAAGCTAACCTAAAAAACACCCCTAAATTTTATAATTATATATATATATATATATATATATTATATAATTGTAGCTTGTTTATCACAGAATATGTCATATTAAAATCCATTTATCATTTGATTAATTTGTTAATGTTCACTTGTTTGCCATACTTCGAATGGTGACAGTTCATTGGCATGGAATAGTAATTTAAATTCCTCGTTAATTGACATTTAAAACCCACATTCCTTCGTGTCCTTTGGTAATTAAAAATATATTTGTTTGGAAAGCCTTCCAAATGAATTGAATAACTGAAATTGTATGGGTCTCTTCCCAATTACTCTCTTTTCTTGCCGTGACAATATCTGGCAGGAGTAGGAACCTTCAGGTAGGAGCTAGCTCTTCTGCGCAAAATTGGTGATTTGACCCGCGAAGATGAGGTTTCGGGAAGGGACATCGGACCAAAGGAACTCTCATCGATGCAATGGGAGGTCATGGTCATCGGAGTAGCCTCCTTTTCTCCTAAACTAGCAGGTGAGAAAATATTGATGATAGGAGCCTGGGAGGCTTTCAGTTTCTTGGCCTCAATAGCAATCTTCGATTCAAGGGACTTGACTTTTGTAATTGCCCGAACCGTGCAATTGGAGGCACCTCCAGCCGGTTTAATGGTCACCATGTAAGAGTATGAGGATCCCTCATTCAGGACTTTAGTGTCCTCGTGCTTAAGCTGTAGTTTCATGAGGAGATCGCCAATCTGGCTGATGATCTGCTCAGTCGTTGGAGTGAACTTCTGTTTTTTACTTACTGGTTTTGTGGAAATCTCAGGATGGTCTACCTTCTCGTCACCATCACGCTCAATCTCGAAGGTGCCCTCCCTGCGAAGACCTGGTCTATCGGAAACTGCAGGTGGGGCAGTTATCTCCGGAACCGATTCCGTCGATTCCAACATCATCTCCTCCTGCAGTTTCTTCAGCTGCTCCAGCTTAAGGCGAATCTGCTCCAGATTTGAGGTAGTCTGCAGCAGTAGATTTCTCTCACTTAGGGTCATTTTCTCTTCCTCTTCTGCATCGACCCCTTCAATTCTAAGATTCCGCAAATCCTCCTGAAAACGGCGCTCGTCCTCTGCATCTTTTAGCTTAGCCAGTGCCCGGGAACTTAGGTTAATGGGCATGTCCAGTTCCGGTGGTGGTGTCACATCCTCCAACTGAGGTACTTCGTTGCCCCCTATAAGTGCCTGCACCTTTTCCATCCTCTCATTTTCTACTTGGCTAAGAACTGCTTCCAGATCGGATCGAACTGTGTAGGCCGAGCAGTCCACCAATATGAAGGGCACAGCTTGATCATCTTCGCCAGGGGACTGGGGCTGATATTCCATGTCCGATGGGTTATCCTCTGGGTTAACTGCATTCGATGGTCCAGGTTGCTCAGGATCTGGTGAGGTGGCTTTGCGGCTCTTCTTTTTCTCTTTCATGACGGCTAAGTAAAAGTTTGATTGATAAAATAAATGTAAAAAGAAAATTTAAAAGGTATTTAAAAATAAAATAAATGTGGTGCTTAAAAGCACTCATAGCACTATCAAGAACAATTGAGACTCGGTTTCAAGAACACCTGCTTTTGAAAAAGTTAGGTTTTTTACTGTTCTCAATTTTTCTAAGTAAATTTTCTCTTTTTCTGTTCTAAAATAATCTATTTTTTCCCCGTGCACTTCCATATGTGTACCTCAACCAAAATCGCAAGTCAAATCGTCCGCGGCAATCGCATTGTGCTGCATTTGATTGTGGCCTGGCCAAGTCGGCAAAGCCGTGATTAGCCCAACACGGGGAACTCACCTGGTCGCCAGCAAGTCGATGCCGCTGCTCCCACGGTTGTTTCGCTCTTGTCCCGGCAGCAAACAGAAATTTAAATCCCTCAAAAGTACTCGCCAAGAGCGAAATTGAAAAGGATAAAAGTTCTGCGTGCCCCGGAATCAACAGGGACGAGCCTTCAGCCTTCAGCTTTCAGCTCCTGATCCAGCTCCTGCTCCTCGATTTTGCTGCTGCCCCGGCTCCTGGGCACTTGTGGCTGCCACTGGGCCAAATAACGGATGCGGGTGAGGGCGGTGTACGGGGCGGGAACAGGAACACAATCCGTAAACCAAAACTTTATTTTGTGCTGATAAAAACTTAAATGTTGCTGCCGCTGCCACGCAATCGTAAATGTTTGATATCCCCAAAGGTTAACAATTTCCGTTGCCGCTTGGCTCTGCTTTTGCTTTGCTTTGGCCCAAGTTAGTTCTCCTCCTTGTTTTCTTTATTTTGTTTGGCAAGAATTTTGCGGTTGGCCAAGCGAACCGCACACATATAAATACGAACCTCCAGCTGGGGCGGTAGTGTCTTTGGGCTGTCTCTTCGACAGCTGGGGATGGCTTTCGGTTGTGTCTGGGATGGGTTCGGGATCCGGAACACGGTATATGGATATGGTGACTGCTAGAGAAAGGCGTACTCAGTGCAATTTAGACATCGGTGGGCTGCCGGCGGAAAGGGCAGTTCTGGGCTGTGCTGCCAGTTGAGTCCTGGAGCAGGTGTTTCCAAATTTTGATGTTCAAAAGTGGTTTTTCAAATGACACTGTGCCTGACTAAAAAGTCAGTGCTTCTTTGTGGCTTGAAAACTTTGGAAAATATAGCAACAGAGGGATGGTCTTTTTTAAGTCAGTAAGGCAGTCGAGCTCAACTACCATTTCTGATTAAGGTAAATGGTTTTTAGTGCCTATGCTAAAAAAATTTCTAATAATATCCTTGATGTTTTGCTGTTTTAAAACTCTTTAAAAATTTTGGTCAATAAAAATAAAATATCATGAAAAAAAAATATAAAATTAAAAACATTATACGAGTATTTTTAAATCTAGATGAATAATGGATTAAATATTAGACTGAAATAATAGCTATTAAGTTTTCATATTTATTTTACACATTCTTCTTCCATTTACTTTTTAAGAATTGACCAAAAATGTTGAGTAATTATTGATGCTAAAAATTATAAAGGAAATTTATCTCCTTAAAAAATCAATAATTCCTTGGATGAAGTTACAATTTGCATAATTTAAATATAAGAATGAAGCAGTATCATACCAAGAATTGAATCCTTTTTTATTTTTTTTAATGCATAGCAGAGAGTAAAAATGGTCCTTTCTCTTAAGCATACGATATTCGCCACCCCGCTCAGTGGACTAAAAAGCTCTCTCCGCGGCCCAGTCCTTTCAGCTCCGAGGACTCGGCCCGAAGGACACACGACCATTCATAAACAAATCGAGCTGCTCCTGTCGGTGGCCACTCAGTTGAAATCGTTGCGAGCTGGCGAAAGGACGTGTTCAACGGTCGTCGGTCGGCAAATTCGAAAACCCATCGAGTGGCATTCGGAGCCTCAGGTCGAAGTTCGTGTGTCAGAGTTTGGCCAAGACTGCAAAAAGGCGAAGAAGAAGGCGCGAAAACCCATTTGCGGCGAGTGCGATTTTTCCGTGTTTTCTCCGTGTTTTCCGGGTGTTTGGTTTTCTCCGAGCCCCCTAAACGTGTGCGGGCAATTAAAGTTCCGGGCGCCCCACAAACTGATGGTCGCGCAAATGGCCATTGCAAATGGCATGTTTTCGTGGCACCGAGTGCATGTCGCCGTATGACACCGAGCTACAAATGCATGTGAGCCAGCCGAAGAGGGCTTAAAGTGTTTTTTGGCCAAGTGGAATTAACAGCCAGCAAGACAAACTGAAGGCACGGAAAGCCAGGCTAATGAAAACCCCATCAAAGGCAAGTGCAAATTGGTACCGGGGGTTTGAGAGGGCAGGAAATCTAATTAAAGACGAAATGGCAAATGCGAAGCATAAAATAATTGCAAATGGAGATGAAACCTTGTGGCAACATACACATGAGTGCCTTTCGCTTGACAAAAACATGACCCCAACCACAAAACCGAAAGGAATTCGCATACATATCAAATTTATGAAAGGCAACCCCGCACACATTCTCATTTATGCGACTGTGTGTGAGTGAGTGTCCTGACCAGGCCAGAAATTTATTTATTTGTTTTCCTTACCAACGAAGCAGAAACTACAGGAAAAAGTACAACTACACCGGCAGCTGAGGGGAAAACTCTAACAAAAACATATGTAAAACAATGAGTTAGGGGCACTTTAAATAGCTGAAGTAGTTCAAATCATTTTTAAGCTCTTAGGAGCTTACAGAAAAAGTTTCTAAAAATTATTTGAATGTACATCCTTTCAAAAGTAATATTAAAACATTTTTTATCACGTCAACATGATGTATTTCTTTTCAAATATTATCCATTGATACTTATTTGTAAATCAATATAAATTCTTTTGTCTCATATTGATCTGAAGAGATTAAGCAATTATTGGAAATTGTAAATTATTCCTTTATTTCATTTTGTTGTACAAAAGTAATATTGAAACATTTTTGCGGTAATCAAGCATTAAATAAAAATATTTAAAAGGATTTTTATTTAATAATTTTGTACCCCATTCCAATTCCATCGATTACTATTGATCTGACGAAGTTCAAATATTATTTTAAAATTTTAATTGTTAAATCTGAAAACAGGAAATGCAGTACACTTTTGTCTCTGTGCCAAATTTAAGTGATGGCTATTAGTGAACATCCTGGCCAGCCTTGAACAGGATTCGAGCAGGGGCCCCTGGGCCCCGAGACCCCTGGGTGCTCGCACATTGCGTGTGCCGGTGTGGGGCGCAAACAATGCATATTCTAATATGCTAAATGGTTGCCATTGTAGGTAAAGCCCACACCCTATAGACCAACTCCCCCACGAAAACCCACGGCGCCCTGTGACCGCAAACTGAAATTATTGCCGGGCCGCGCAAACAAAGCACTACGGTTAGGAAAACAATGGCTCAGTGCGGCCCGGTTGAGTCTGGCTCAGTGGAGCTTTGGCTCGGAGTCGTCATAATTTCAATTAAAATTCAATTGAAATTATATGCAAAAACAAACAATGGTGTAAATTGTGGGGCTTGCTGTCGGAGCGCCCATAAAAGTCAATTAAATTATGCATTCGGCGATATTTATCAATCTGTGTGGTCTGCCCTACCTATTTTAACCTTTTTCCCGTCCTTTTTTTCTCCCCTTTCGATTGTTGTATTGATTGGCCGGGGAAAGGTAATCGACATTTCAATAATTCCATAAATAGTTAAGTAACTACCCTCTCCCAACTGACCCTATTTTCTATGTTTTCCTTTTTACCAGACTTTTATTTTTCCTGGGTTTTGGTTTATTTTTTCAATTTAGTTCACGCCACTTGAACGAACTTAAATATTTCTTCACACTTTGCCTTGTCGCCATCGCCTTTTACCGAAAGTTTTCCAATTATATGTCGCCTTTTTTTCGCCAAACAGTTTTTCCGAGCTTCATATTTGCTCTGCCGCCCCCTCTCCTATTTTCCCTATTTTCCGCTCTCTCTCTCTCTCGCCGGGGAAAGTTTTTATCGTCGAGCTGAAAAAATTATGCTGGCATTGCCTTCTCTCATATGATTGGCATCGCGGCGGCCCGAAAGTTTTCCCCTCCGGCAAATTGTTATCATAAGCGAAATCGCAGCGCAACTGACGTGAATTTTCCCGAAATGGAAAATTCAGGCCAAACTACGTATTTTGAATAAATGTCACTGTCTGGAGTTGGATCGAATGAGAAACCGATTTCAGTGCAGGCCAAGTTAAAAGTCAGGTAAAATTTGCATTCGACTTGTTGATATTTTTTTTTTGTCGCCGGTGTCACGCTAACGGCATTTGCATTCGCAACAGTATCTCTATCTGTATCTGTATCTGTATCTCCACCTGTATCTCGGGATATCTAAATCTGTATTTGCAACGGTGTCTTCGTATATCTGTATCTGTGTTTACTGCCATCCGCATGTTTCAAGATATGGCATACACGTTATTTCACTTTAGTACATTAGGGCAGACTTCCTCCTGCCGGTGCGCTTAATTTCCGGCGCAGTCAACAATACGAATCGGTATCCCCGGAGAGGGAGTTGGAGGGTCCTGGGATTAGGGATTGGCCAGGACTGCTCCTCCCCGCTGCTCCTCACTTTATTTTCTTGTCATGTCCTCAAAGGAAGCGTTAAGGAAAAAGACAGGATTCAAAGTAGGACCACAATTATAGAAGGACAGTCTACTTTTAGATGCCTTTTCCACTTTAATTTAAATCAAGGAAACTTCCTTCAGAGGACAACCACATTCGTTTGCGACCCCACATGTCGACCCTTTTCGCCTTTGTCCAATTAAGGAGCTTAAGTGGTTTTCTCATAATTAGGTTATCCTGGGATGGCAGGCGCACTTTCGTCTCCTCAAATATTTATGCTCCGTTCCATTTAATTTATTAAAATGCAATTTAATTATTTCAATATTTATAATTCCCCCCTCAGGGCACACACACACACTTCCCCCCGAGGGTGTCCAATCAATTTGGAGTTCATTCGCTTCTTATGTAACATTTATTTTTCGCTTCACGCAGACAGCAATGGTGTGTGTGAGTGGATGGGTGGGTGTGTGGTGTGGTTGTCCTTGTGCGTATCACTCATACGCACCGGTGCCCGGAGCCTGCAGGTTAATGCCAAGACCTCTGGGGTCCCACATTCCACATTCGCAGCCAACAAATCTTGCGTATAGCATTTAATTTTTTGACTTCACTCGCGGCTCACGCGCCAGCATTTGTGGGAGCTCTGGGGTGGTAACTTTGGGGTGGCAGTTTGTGGGGGTGGAAACCACTCAAGTAGGGGGTGTTCAAGGATCGGGCGTGGGCTTGGTCGCCTCGGGCTGCGGTTACCATTCCGTGGGCCTCGAGGTGCTCACAGGCTGTAGCCACAATGTTGCCTTGGCAATGCAGGAATTACTAGTTCGTGAGGAATGCGAGCACTGCGAGAAAACTAAAACAAACAAACATATAAATAACATTTATATTTAACTTCAATACTTAAGATGGAGATAGATCATATTGAATTAAAAAAATCCTTTTTAAAATATTTACAAACCTATATCCTAAATTTGATTTAAAAAAGGTGTATGTATTTAATTCAGTTTCATATATATTGTAAAGCATGTTAAATTTGATCCTTGTTCCCTCAAGGAACCCTCCCTAAATGTAATAACCTTATTGTCACCTCCACTTAGTACTTCTCAAACTTTTTGATAATTTCCCCTGGTGTATAGACTGAAGGAGGTGGTCTGACCAAATGAGGCAACTATTTATAGAAGTAGCACTGATGAGCCCCGGCTTATTCGGAACTTGCCACTCGGCTGGGTAACCCACAAGCCCTTTGGGGAATTCCATTGAATTTGAATTCTGTTTGCCGGCTACTCCTCAAATATTCGCCTTTCAATTTCCATTAGTCTGTCATATTCCACTCGCTTTCGCTTCACTCTGTAAATTGCCTTTCACTCCGCTTTTGTGAAATATTAAGTACTTTTTCATTTCCTTTTCCGCGGAGAGTCCCAATCGCAAAGCTTTTCCTTTTGCCCCTCGGCTCGATTTCTGTTTGTGGCGCTGCGAGAAACAAAAACAAAAAATTTGTTTGCCATAAAAAATTGTCGCGAGTTACGCGGCTGGGTGACAAAATGTGGATGTGAAAATGTGGATGTGGAAATGGCCGCCCCTTTGTGGCACCTCCACCCATCCACCGCCCACCGACTTTATCCCTTACCCGCTCAATTGTGGCACGCCGTGGCTTTCCACTTATTTTCCACGCCGTGCAGCTTTGTATTTTGTATTTTTGTTTGGCTTTCCTTTCTCGCCGCTTTTCTTGTACTGTGCTCATTTATTTTTTATGTGTCTTGCACCTGAAACGACACACATTCAACGCGTTGGAGGGCAGGTGAGGCGTTTTGGGGGGGTGGCATTAAAAATTTAAGTTTTATGTCAATGGATGTCCTCCGTTCCGGGCTTTGTTTGCCGCTTCGACTTGCTTTATGGCCATTTTTCACGGTGTTTTCCCAGCAATGTTGATTTAATTTAAGTCCCAAGTTAAAGCCGAAATTAACATGCAAACGGCGGTTGCCAAAAAAATAATAGGCCCCATCAAACGTGTCTTCGTGCCGACTTAGGCAAATGATAATTTATTTATAATAGTTTCAGCCCAGAACCATAAAAAAGAGGGGATCATAAACACTTTTTAGTTGCCCTCGACGACGCCCCCCGCTTGCGGATGGCACTGCCATTCCATCTTTTTGTATTCGCACATAAACTCATTTTATTCCCAGCACGTGATATTTGTCCACATATGCGAAACTTTATTAGTTGAGCACTCAATGAAAAGGCCATCAAAGAAAACACTCGCCAGGGGCTGCCAGCTGTACGGTTTAGTGGGGGGAAAATAAAATTTACAACATCGGCAAACATTTCCCCAATGAATTTGCATTGTCAATCATGCGCGCAGCTTATTTATTCGCCTTATTTTGTGTTATTTTTTTAGCGGTCGCCAGCTGCACTTTATGAAACATTTTTACGACTCACTCTCACAGTTTGATCGAAACAAATTTCAACAAAGTTGGAAAATAAAACGGGCCGCCATCAATTGTCATCGATATCCTAGCTCCTAATCTGTCAAGTGGCCTGGGATTTTCCGAGTGCCTGTGTGTGTTTATCCTGCCACCGGCTTAGCCACAGAAAAGCCACATGAATTTATGGCACGGGATGGCATTTAATATATATATATATTTTTCAAAAAGAAGACAGATGGTGAAGTGTCCTCGGGGAGGAGACCCGCTTGATTTAGTTTATCTGCTGAGATTGTTATTTACGGACAGGATGATATTAGGCACTTTCATGCCACTTTTGGAAAACATAAATAAATACAAATTGAAAACGATTTTATTGGGTTTTTAAATACTAGTATAGGTTGATGCAATTTAACTGATCATTTTCAAGCACAAAAATATCGGATAAATTAAGGTTAATTAGCACCAGAACCCCTGATATAATAATAATAACATAACATTTATTTAAAGCCTCATTCTATTTTCGTGTAGAACAAAATACTTGAAACCACCATCACCTAATTAAAGTGTCCGATAGATAAAATCCTTTGGGGTTCCCCCGTAATTCCAGGTCGACCACTTAGTTCATAGCTAATTAACTGGCCTGCCCAACTTATTCGCTCTGGATTTGGCTTGCAGCGCTAATGCAAAATGTATTTTAAATTGGATTAAGTGTCAAACATTTTGACTTTGTGCCAACAATAATTTAGCCTGTTGAATTTTAATGCGATTTTTGGTAATGTAACTTTATCCGCCCGTCCAAAGCCCACACACCTCACCTGTCCACCCACTATTTATATACACATATATGTATAAATTAGATGTGTGCGCTGTGATAAGTGCGACCCATGTGTCAAATGAAAAATCAATACTATTACAGACACAATGCACATATGGGCACAAACATGTGTACAGAGATGTAAATAGCTGGTTGACATTCTGACATCGACAAAACGAACGGGGAGCCTTCAAATGTGCCCCCCGACATTATTAGGTCACTTGTGGCTACATTTTGCCATTTCGCCCATATAGCCATGCATACATATATGCACAGGGGATATGGAAATCTGGCCGGAGGAACAAATTTAATTTGCCAGCCCATCGCCGTTTCGAAATTATAATAATTGCTAAAATAATCGATTTGGGTCGGGGACCTGACATTGGCTAATGCATATTAAATTACCATAATACAAATGATATCCCGGCCACTCGCACACACACAGGCACACACTCTATATCTATATAGGGGTCCTCGAAATATCCTGCAAAAGTTGTGTCAACAATGTGAAAGATAAACAATGCCAGCTCGCACATGTCTGTGTGCCAGGATACACAGGATACACACTCGAACGAGGGAAAACTTGCGACTCAGCTCCTTGCTGTTGTTGTTTCGGGTTTTGTTTCACAATAATAAAGTGCGGCTGCAGCTTTAATAACTTCTGCAGTCAACAAGAGCGACAACAATAACAAACACACTTCCCGATAGACAAAAAAAATACAAAGGGAATGCCGAGGGGCGGCCAAGGGGTCGGATGATGAAGAAAAGCTGGGAAAACACACAGAAACTGCGGAGCTGCTGTGGCGAAAGTTCGGCACAGAATGGAGCTGCATTCTAATATGATGGGACCGCAACTAGAAAAGTTGCCAACCCAGTGGCAGCGATGTTAGATGAGTGGTTGAGGGGGGTTTTAGGGGGGATCAGGGGCCAAGGGGCAGGACACAATGCCAGGAGACGAATTACATTTGTCGCGCAATGTTTGCACATATTTAAGCAACTTAAGAATTAGCCAACTTGGCTGGAAAATGCAGCGCAAAAATGCTGGCAGCCAGCGGTTCATCAGTCACACAGGAAGAAAGATATCAACGAGTTTTAGAGTCTTTAAAAACGTTTAAAAAACATATAACTTTAGGAGTTGAAAAATCATTGGATTGTATGGAATAATGTATTCAAAACATTGGATTCTTAACAAATTGGGGATTGTTTTAAAATAACTAACTTAAGGTTGCTGAATTTTTTTTGTTATGATGTTTTTATTAATAAATCGAAGACAATATGATATTTTTTTAATTTTTTAAAATTCAGTTATATTAAAAATTGGGAAAAGCATAAAGGTAATCAATTGATATAGTGATATATCTAACATCAAAATTCTAGTATCGAAAGTACAGTAACATTTAAATATTCCATTTTAATCGAACTTCAAATTTGCAAAAGTTTTAAATGGAGTCAAACATTTTTAATACGAAAAAGAGAGTTGTAAGATTCTGCACGATATAAACACAACTGTGATCCAATAATATCGAATCGAAAGGGATATTTTTTGAGTGCAGCCAGTTGCTCAGCCAGGATAACTCTGGAGCAACCCAATTTGAGTTGCCCGCGCTTTGCAATGCAAAATGGCGGCGCTTCGAAACTTTTTGCTGCATAATCGCAGGCGCAGCACTTTGGGCCAGGCCAAGCAAAACAAAAGTCCCTTTGGAGGAGGAGCAAGGAACAAGGGGAGAAAGTGGTAGGAGAAAGTGGAGCGAGGGGCGAACAAACTTTGCTGGCACTGCGCATAATGAAGCAACGCAACAGACAAATCCATCTCCGAGTGTGGACAAAAAGTCCGGGCCTGGAATACGGGTTTTTGGGTGTGCTGGCTTTGCCGAGTTGGACGGGTCCGGGTCCGGGTCCAGGAAAAGTTTCTGTTGCCAAATGCGAAAAGAATAAGACGCGACGAGCGTCACAGTTTACTTGGCATTTACATTTCCGCTCTGCCGGCTGCCACCCGAAAGTTGTTTTCCTTCCATCTTTTTTTATGATTATTTCAGCTTCATTTTTCATTAAGAGCCAAAGCCACAGGACGAGCTGCTGGCCTCCTTGATTTATGCGCATTTCATGAGCACTTCGATGGTTGGTGGTTGGAGAGGGGGACCTTCCGGAAGGCACGTGTCCTTGAGCATTGTTTTTTGCTAGACAAACGTCCATTAGCTAAGAGGAAATATTGGCCAAGGGAACCAGCTAAAGGTTTTGGTTCCTGGAGCTCCTTGACTAGGGCATCATTGAGTCGATGAATTGTTTGTTTTTCCGAAAGTTTTGCCTTTTTTGACACAGCTCCGATTCGCTTTCCCTATGAATTCTTAATTTCATTCGATTTTATAAAGCTTTGCCGCACACACGACCTGACCTATGACCTCAGCTGCGGCATTTGGCCACAACAGCTGTCAACGCCCACGCCCCGTCGCAACGCCCACGCATTAACCTTCGTCCCTTTTTGTATACAGAGTTCGATTTGTAACGTGTATTTATAAGTTTCTTTTTTGGGGAAAATCTATTTCCATGCGAACATCTGACGCGAGCTCTTGTGGCCAAAAAATAAATGACAGTCAAATGCTGATGGGAGTGTTATGTAATGAGTTCCCATTTCCGTTTCCATTTCCATTTCTATTTCCATGGCTAACCGGGAAACAATGGGCACAATCAATAAATTGTCTCTAGATTCCGGTCACCGAAATCATTTGCTGATGGCCAAATTGAGGTTACAGTCATTTGCAAAAAAGAGAGAAACAGATAGCGAAACAATGTCATTTGATTGAGAATTATTCTTGGGCTGCCCTGTTTGTGCCCGGCCTGACCTGATGAGAAATGATAGACTAGAAACACAAACCAGGACAAATTGAAAAGGGAACTTGATGTGAAAAATACGGTGCAGGCTGAAGGTCTCTTCTTGGGATAACTTTACCTTTAGCAGGGCCATCAAACTTTATTAAAGCCCATTTATTGTGCTCTTCTTTGCAGGCAGCACAAGTGAGACAAAACCGAGTTTAATGAGCTGGCTGCAGCCGGAACACATGAGACTGCCGCAGCACTTGTCCCTGGCCAACAACGGATCGAGGCAACTATTAATGGCAACAGGCTGGAAGTTTATGCGAAAAGTTTCTGAAAGTAATACGCAGAGAAAACACAAACCGAGCTAAGTCCTCCCATCAAGCAACAATAAAATCGCTGGGGAAAAGCGCTTAAATCAGCACAAGAAACCGAAAGGAACCGGGCGAGGAGGAAGAAATCCGCAGAAAACTTTTCCGGCAACGGATTTCCATTCTCCCGAGCACCGGCATCACCATCACCATCATCATCATCATCGTCCCACAGCTCCGTTGTTATTGTTTCGCCAAGGATTACATATTATGCGATAAACATGAAATACACAAACGATACACGACTCATTGTGTTCATTTGCTGTTTGCTGCAAGGTGAGTGCAAAAGTGTTCAATGCCATTCGTTGGGTGGTTTTTTTGGGTGTGTCGGTGATTTTCCCCAGCATTTCCAGTTCAATGCCTGCGCGTGTCGACACCTTGCCAGTCAATAAAAAGCAAATTGTAACTGCTCGACAAAGTCACTTGTGGCGTTTTAACACCCAAACGCACATATGTAACATTGTGTGCGTGTCGGTGGCCCAACAACCCAACAGCCCACAGCCCAAAAAAAGGCATAACCGCCCACTAATCCCCGTATAACCCACCACCAACCATCTGAAACCCCGCTGACGACCCGCTCGTTTCACTTATTTCAGATATTTTTCTTGTGGGCCGCATGCGGAGCGCATACAAATGAGAAAGCACAACCCGAAACCTGGGCACCCCGGCAATTTTCGCTTTATTTTAAATAAACATGATAATTTTTTTAATAGAATTTTCCAGGGCTTAATGTGTGTGTGTGTGTGCTGCGAAGGTTTTCAACAGTGAGCTGTCAATTTGCGGGGCAGCCGCAAGTTGGCTCCATTTCCCCATGTTCCCCACATTTTCATATGCATCTGTCAAGTGCAGCCGCATGAACGTGATGTGACAGACGCAGTTCTTCTGCTCTGCAGTTTTCCTACGCTTTTCCTCTGCTTTCCATCTGAACAGCTGCATGTCTACCCCCCGGGGAAATCACTCACACGTATTAAACGCCAATGACGCACGGTTGCAGTCTTTACCCCCTCCTCCGCCCCATAAATTCCATTTCATTTTGCAAATATGTAATCGCACCTAGAGTGCAAAACACGGCAATCGATTTCCGAAGGGCAAACTGCAGACGCTCGCGAAATAATAAGGGGAAAACTTTTGGCAAATTGTTTGCGGAACGTGAGGCACCCATCTTGCGGCAGCTTCCTTGCGTTTTGCACCTTCGCGTTTCGCTCTACTTTAAGTGGTCACAAATGAGTCCTGGCCATGTGATCAAATATTGCGCATACGCCATGCGGGACGGCGACAGTTTACATGCTGCCTTTGCCTTCCCTCCATTGTTATTTCTCTTTTCAATTACACGCCAGCTCAGCAACTGTTTTCCCCCCTTTTCCATTTTCCTTGCCCGCTTTTCCGCTTTTCCCGCACCCTTTTCCCTTTGCCCCCTCCCTTTTGGCTCATCACCTGCGGTTATTTTGATTTTAATTTGCTCGTTTCTCGCTCGTCAGTTGCTGTCGCTGTTGCTCGTGTTGTTTCTATTTTATTCATAAATGTTTTGTTGCCTGTCTCACCATTACATGTGTGTGAGTGTGAGTGGGTATGTGTTAGTTCGCCTTGTCAGTGTCGCTTAGGGTGGAGTGGCCATTTTCCCTGGAAAAGTGTATGTTTGTGTGAGGATTTGCGCCAGATTTGTGTCAACTTGAATACATCAGAAGCGCTTGAACAGATTTGCATGCTGTTTCTGTTTTTTGTTTGCCTGTGGTGGCTGCAAAAAAAACAAACAACAAAAAACGGGCAAAAATTGCACACGCAATCGCACAGCGGCAACGGGGCGTATGAGTACTTTCGCCTTCTTCCCTCCGCGAGCCTTTCAAAAACTGTTGCATACTTTTTTGCGCCGCATTGTTCTCGTTTGCCCGCTGCAAGGATAGCCTTTGTTGTTGCTCGGTTACTGCGCAAACTAAACTAAAACTATCCCAAAGGCTTTTTCATTACAATTTCGTCTAGGTTCCCCCCTATTTTTTTTGCATTTCACTCTCTCTGGCCCCGCTGTTTTTTTAATATAATTGTTTGCGTATTTAGCACAAGGCCAAGCTTTCGCCCAAACACCCACCATTCGTGGCCGCGGTAATTGTTTTTTAAACGCATTTAATGAACAGCATTAAGCGGAGTTTAAGCTGTCAATGCCACAATAAATATTCATCAGGACGCAGGGCGAATAAAAAAAACAGTGCGAAGCCAAAGCGAACGTCAGAGTTTTTAATGAAGTCTAGACGCCGCAAATAAGAAACACGGCCTTAATGAGCCGCCAGCTCCAACGACATCCCACTATCAATGGCAGCCCGCCCATCGCTGTTGTGTCTCTTCCAGTTTTTTGACACTTTTCGGCAACTTTGTGGCTCAGGTTCGGGCGAAATGATTTACCAGATAGCAAAGTTTTGCCAGCCTCCGCCGTGGGCCGCATAATTGCTGCAAAGGCGCAAACTCATTAGTGGTATAAAGTTAAAGGATCCGGTGCCCACTCCTCCGATTCGGCCATCATTGATAGCAACTAAGCTGCTACAACCGATTTTTGTTGCCAGCTTTATCTCCTAATGGCGGCCTTCATTATGCGCTATTTGGCATCGCCCAGTGGGTCAGTTTACCTTGGGGATGGGATGGGGCTGGCCACCAGCACCACCCTTCCTTTTTCCGGGGGCTCCTGCTCCTTTGTTTGTCTTTCTACTTTCCTGTCCTTCGGTTCGGTTCGTTTCGTTTCCATCCTCCCCTCCTTTCTGTTTGCCAATTTTATCGAATTATGCTAAACACCAGAAAAGTTCGGGCGACCAGAGGTCTTATTTAACCTGCAGGTGAGAGCTGGAAGGCAACCCGAGAGGACTCAGAGTTGAGTGGGGGTCTCGCCCTGTTTAAATATGCGTTAATGAACGAAATTATCATGCATACTGAATGCTATCCCCCCGTCCCAATCTCCTGCAGCTTATGCATATTCAATTTACATCAAGTGCGCCGCGTTGCTTTGCGGATACTTTACATACTAATTTAAATATGGAACTTTATTTTCCAGCAAGTTCGGGGAGAGCAACCGATAGTCAAGTGTTTGGAGTGCCGGGAGTTTGAGACAGGCGAGCTGATAGGCAGACAGTTGGAACTTTTGCTCTTTGTTGTCTTTGCCCCGGGGCACAGTGGTTGTGGAGTGTGAATTGGGTGCTTAAATTTAAATGGAAAAGTTAGGAAAATATTTTTAGGCATGGAAAATATTGGTATATGTAATTTAAATAAAATTGAATATCTGGTATGCGATGTGTAAGCAACTGTGTAACTTTAAAGTCTTTAAAACATTCACTTTTAATATAACTGATAATGGTTTGAAGTGAATACAGAATAGATAAGTTGAATCTTTAGTGTCTCCACTAGAAAGGTATCTTTTTTAGGGCAATTAATAATTGCATTCATGGTATTTCAGTTCATTTTAAGTTTTTGTAGAATAAGATTTAAGTTCTCGATTTAGTAAGTACAATATATCTCCGAAAATTAATAAAAGATGGTTAGATATAGTAAAATACATTTGTAAAATTGCCAAATGTAATATCAACATGTTTCTAAATGCTACCATTCAAGACTTCAGAAACCACATAGTTATATTTCAGATACAAAAGCACTCATAATCCTTGCTCACAGCTATAGCACTTGCGGGGATCCCCCTTTGTGCATAGAAGGCCACTTTCGTTCGCTGCGATGCATTTAGACAATGTTGAGATGCTGCGCTTCTGGCATGTTTACGGCTTGTGTGTGTGTTTTCCACAAACCCATTGAAATGGAATCCCATTCGGGGCACATCAACTTGTAATTTAATTTCGGATCTGAATGTAAGCTTTCGTCGCTCGACTCGACTTGGCTGCTATCAATGCCATTTCCCCTTGGCTAAAATTCTTTGGAAACAGCACCCGCCCTGCAGGCAATTTTAATCAGCTCTCATGCAACTTTCACCCATTGTTTGCTCCTTTCAGTCGCATCCAGCCAGCGTTTTTGGGCCTGTGTCTGTGCGATGTTGTTTTTCTTGTTGGGACTTTGCTGTTTTTTAATTAACATTAAGAGACTTTGTAGCGCTGCCCGAATGACATGTGTTGCCTGCCGCTCGCTGGCTGCTTTGTCTTGGCTTGTATCTTGTGTAGCGTATCGCATCTGCAGTTTTTTTGGCAAACAGCTTAATGAAATTAAGACCGTTTCCCCGCTGACATCAGCAGGTGGGCGTGGCGCTGGGCGGACGCACCTCGACTCGTCCATCAAAGAAGCTGTCATAAAAATTGGCCAATTAAATTGCCCACGCCTGGTCCTTGAAATTCCGGCGCTAATTAATGGCCAAATGTAATTAGTTCGGGCGTATGCAAAACTCTGGCATTCTCGACACGAAATTAAAAGCAATCTAATTCCGTAATTAAATAAGAGAGTTAGGCAAATCAAAACTGTTTACTCCACTCTGCCATCGAGTATCCGCAAACCACATGCTGTAGTCCTGCCAATTCAATCAGTTCTTTGGTCCCTGGGAGCCGGAAAAGTTGTGCAGCTCTGCAATGGAAAAGTTTTGTTCGCTAAGTCCCAGATCAGAGACTGTCAATCTGGTTTAATCCCATTCAATTGCTGACGTCTTTAAGCGGCCGGCAAAGTTTGCCAGCTGCCAATGGCAGTGCCAATGGCCAATTAGCTGGCGCACCAACTCCTAATGGCCAGATATTCAAAATATTTATGACGACTGCCGTTCTAATTTAACGCTCGCTGAACAGCTTGGCTGAAATAAACCGCTAAACAGGGGGGAATGGGCTATAAATGACAGCCAGGAAGTATACAAACGGACAATATCCTGTTGGTCGCTGTCCTTCGGCCATTCGGCCTTCATAATTTGTGGCCCTGACTCGGCGGTGCTGTAATTTTACAAAGGATTAAGCCCGATTACGCACTCATTTATTAATATTTACGAGCCGGCCGACACGGTATAACAGATAGCCACCTGCCGCAATTTATCCGGCGGAGCAGTCGCCTGCATATTTCGGAATTGCTACTCATAAATAAGCAATTGGCGATCAGACCGTGGGTCCTTTTTAATTAAAACAATAATTGTTTGTCCTGGCAGCGGGCCAGTTGGACTAGTTGGTCTAGTACACAGGACAAATCAATTATGCAAATACTTGGCCAACGCAGGCTGGCAGGCGGAAAATTTGCGTCGTCATCGGCAACAAGAAGTTGACTCGTCCTGACGTCTTGGCCCCGGAAAATGCGGGAAATATTTTAATTTTCCTCTGTGCCTGTGTTGCGACCAGCGTAATCCTTGGCGAATGCCCGCCGGGTCCTGTGAACTCTGACAGCGTTTCCCTGCCATCATCCTGGGCATCCTGCGCCCTTTTCTTATGCAAATGGGCGCTCCATATCCCCGGGCGACCTGCCAGTTTATTGATTTCCGAGTCTCGCTGATTTCAATATTTGTCGTTTGCATCTTCAGCGGAAGAGAAAATTATTTTGATATTTTTTCTGGGATAACTTTGTTGCTTGATTGCTGACACGTTTATTAAGTAAGTTTTGCTGAAATTGGCAAAGGTCTTTGATACTCAGAGGGAACTTTATAAAATGTATACTATACGATTAAATTATTATTCGGCTTAATGTTTCTAATTTCTGGTTATAGGTTTTGCTGTGGGCCTGCGCATGATAAAGGTATCCATTCCCGCCTACAAGCTGCGCGGCGAGTCCGCCTTCCTGGAGTGCCAGTATGAGCTCAATAGGACACATCACACGGTCACGGGTGTGCAGAGTCACTCGGAGCATGACCACGCCCATGGGCACCAGAGTCATGGCGGAGAGTTCCACTACCCGGATGGTGGCGAGGGGCTGGAGGAGGACCGGTCGCCATACCGCTCCCGGATGCGCCAGAATCAGCGGCAACATGGCCAGCGCCAACGGCAGCGTGAGCCCATCGCCATGCGGCAGTACCAGAGTCAACAGAGCCACCAGCTGCCGCCAGCTCCGCCGGAGAAGTCGCCCTACGGGCACAGTGTCTACCGGGGCAGTGCCGCCTCCGGATATCTGGGTGCTGCCCACGTGGGCGCCAGCACCCACAGCGGTTCCGTGTCCGTGAGCAGCAACGGAGGCGGTGGCGGCGGCGGTAACGGCGGTCCGGCGGCCTATATGCCCGAGTTCGATCGGGCGGACAGCTTCGACGACAGCATCGACCGCGAGGAGGAGGACGAAGAGGAGGAGGAGGAGCAGCGCGAGGAGGGCGAGGCCCTGTACGCCATCAAGTGGTACAAGGACAACGAGGAGTTCTACCGCTATGTGCCAAAGGCCCGGCCGCCGAAGACCAGCTACCGGGTGGACGGGGTTCGAGTCATTGTGAGTATCCCTAATTTATTAAAGATTTTGGGATTAATTGTAAGGTTAGGCAAAAAACAATACATTACTTAGGCGATTTTTGGTTAAATATTAAAATTCCTAAGAAACAAAAAAAGAGTTTTTAGACATTTTCTAGATTAGATATGCTTATTCTAGAGAAACAATGAAAATAATTCTTTTTTATGATTTATAATGATCTGTAGCTCTTTTATTAATGATCTGTAGATACGAACTGTTAAACAAACGTATTTTAATAAAGTGATGTTAAAAAGTCTTAGTCTGCATAGGTACACTTAGAAGGTATTCACCCTGTGCTAGTGGGTTAGAAAATGTACTTAATTTGGCCCCGAATTTCTGAAATTCTAGGGGTATACCTTCTTGAATTTATTGACACAGTAAAACACTCATAATGTAAATTTTTTAAAAATTATACACATTACTCAACAAAGTTTTCGGGTGAATGCAATAAACCCCACTCGTTATAACATTTTAAGATGGGTTGTTTTTATGTTTTTAAAATACAAGAATAAAGAAAGCAGCAATTATTTCCAGCACCCAAATTTACAGTATCGATTGAATTTAACTTAAATCAACACGTTTTGAAATCAATAATATTTTTCTAGCATCAATCTTGTTTATATTTTGTAAAATTTGTTCTACTGCTGATGCTTACACATGCTAATTTGTCACTATACCATTGCCTATTTTCATATCCATTGCAGGAGGAGCTCTCGGACGCGAGTCGCGTGCTGCTCCGCGGACTGACCCTCAACTCCACCGGACTGTACCGCTGCGAGGTGTCCGCCGAGGCGCCCAACTTCTCCTCCGTTCAGGGCGAGGGGCGGATGGACATTGTGTGTAAGTACCCGGCCGAATTCCGATCCAATCTATTCAAAGTCACGTTCCGCATTTGCCTGCCCGATTTTATTATATTTGTTGCACCCCGCAAGCACACAACCGAGCAAATGTTTGCTCGAAAAATTTCACATCAATTACAGGCAAATATTGGGAGTGTAAATACAGGACAAATTCAGGGGGTGCGGTGGCTGGGTTTAAGCCTGGATCTCCGTCCTTATTGGCATCAAATAGCAGGAACTTGCTTGCTTATTTGCTCTCGATGCAGAGGGATTTCCAATGTGAATAGTATTCATGGTTTCTGTACACATATTTTTAATTCATTCTACAAGGAATTTCAATAAGCGGCTACAGAATCACAGACTGAAATGCTAGAGTGAAATTGATACGAGATTTTAATGGGAATAGTTTAAATAAGCAAGACAAATAGGATATTAATATGCCAATGAATGAAATTCAAATTAAAAATTGTCCTTCGTTCCAATAAAAGCAACACTAGTTTGACCTTCCTCTTTTATTCTATTATTTTTGGTAAAAGCTTTAGCTGATTTAAATTGAATTTTTAAAAGCCTTTCCGTGGCTCTGTTTACCATTTCTGCGGTCCATTTTCCGCCACAAGCCCACCCACATGTACACCCACATATAAACTATATATATTCCGATTCGGATCGAGTTCATTTTTGCAGCTTCTGCCGGTTTTCGCTTTTGGTCTACTAATGCGACTGGCGCTGTTGTTTGTTTGGGTTTCTTTATCGGGGGGCTGGGCGGAAATGCTTTTAAAAAGTCATTCATAAGCTTTAGTTTCATAACAGCATATTTTCGTAATCCAAGCCGGGTCTCTGCATTTTTTAACGCTTTACACACGCGCTAAACTTTGCGGCTCCCTTCCTATTTCTTTTTTTTATACCATTTTTATTTACTTAAAACCAAATGGCCAGCGGCCAAAGGGAATATATAAAAACGGTAGACCCTGTGCGGAGGGGATTACGGGGGGGCCACGCCAGCGATTTATAAGTTAAAATGCCATTTTAATGGATATTTCCGCAGTCTGGCCGCTTACAACATATTTTGTGTAGCCCCCAATCCTCTTTGCGATTGCAGTTGTTGCTGCTGGTTTATCTGTGTGTTTTATGTTCTATTTGAGCAGCGAAAAAATATTTATTTGTATATCCCATTGAAATGGTCTGTGCCAAAGGGGGGGAAGTCCCCTCCAAAAACGGGGCGGAGTGTGTGTGTGTCTGGTAAATATTTGCCGGGCAAAGCAACACAAAAAATTGTTAATAAATTACTCGACCAAGGGGCGAAAGCCGCAGCAAATATTTATTGGTAACTGGTTGGGGGAATGGGAAGGCTTTTGGCCATATGAATACCCAGCGAATGGGGCTCAAAGCTGCGGCCGATAACATCACCAGGGATAATATCGAGCATTAATCCCCCAATTTTATTTATGCAAATCTTGTATCCATAATTGATGTATACTTTATACCCCTCCCCATTTCAGTTCTGCCCCGCGATGGACCACACATAAGGGGACAGCAGTATCAGTATCAGATCGGCGAATACTTGTATTTGAATTGCACGTCGGGCAAATCACATCCGGCCTCGCATTTGCAGTGGTTTGTCAACGAGCAGCCGGTGAGTGTTATAACGCCGAAAATATATACCTTTATTTTCCCAGCCCCAACATTTACCCCTTTATTTGGGTACGCGCTAATCAAGAGAGCCTGCCGGGCCAAAAAAAAAAAAGAATGTAGAAATTATGCATACAGTAAATATTTAAGCCTCTAACAACGCGCCAGACAACGAACCCCGAGGAAAGTGGACTCAGCTGGGCAGGTTGTTGGAATAATTTCATGAACAACAAGGGAGAACGCTATAGTCGAGTACCTCGACTATCAGATACCCGTTACTCAGCTAAATGGAGATATGCAAGCAGCAAAGCGAGATTAAAATGCGCCACCTACCGGCGGTATACAGATTTAAGCGTTATGGGCGTTAGAGTGGGCGTATCAAATTTTTTTTGGATCAATCGATAGGTATCGACGAGACCAATACATTTCAGTTAAAATTTTTTATCTAGCATGAAAATTGTGGGCGTCACAGGGTTTTGCGGTTTGTGGGCGTTAAAGTGGGCGTGGCAAACTTTTTTTTGGGTCAATCGATAGGTATTGATGAGAACCTTACATTTCAGTTAAAATTTTCTATCTAGCATGAAAACTGTAGGAGCCACAGTTTTGGGCGGTTTGTGGGCGTTAGAGTGGGCGTGGCAGTCTACTGAAACAAACTTGCGCTGCGTAGGAAGCTCAGGAATCTGCACGCCAAATCTCAATAGCCTAGCTCCCATAGTTTCCGAGATCTCAGCGTTCATCCGGACAGACGGACAGACGGACAGACGGACAGACGGTCAGACGGACAGACGGACAGACGGACAGACGGACAGACGGACATGGCTAGATCGACTCGGCTAGTGATCCTGATCAAGAATATATATACTTTATGGGGTCGGAAACGCTTCCTTCTGCCTGTTACATACTTTCCGACGAATCTAGTATACCCTTTTACTCTACGAGTAACGGGTATAAAAATCATGTAGACGGGCAGGCTTCGCTTCGAATACATTTTTTGGGTTTTCTTCCCTTTTGGCTTTGGCATGTTTTATGGCCCGAGGTCGGGGGCTTAGGTGAAGGTGTGTAGGTGTGTAGGTGTGCTGGAAAGACCCCCCCTTCCGACTGAAACTGAAACTGGGACCATCCATCTGGCCGAAAGCTCGTTACATGTCTGCCCTGGCCGGAACACAAAAATCGAGGGGCGGCCAGTGGGCGGGGCGCACTGCATTTTATCGTCGACGTCGACTACATGGCACTCAAATTGTGTGAATCGAGGCGTTAAGGTACGAGTTAGTTCATTGTACCATGCTGACTTCCCCAGTCCCCTCCTCGAATCCAGAGGGTTCGTGCCTCTCGTTCGCTTTGTATAAATACGAGAAAAATCAATAAGTGCGATTAGGCACGATTCCCGGTTTATTTGCCTTGCAACAATGGCAGCTGGCATCATCCCTCTTTCGTCACCCTTCCTGAATAATGAAGAGTACCCCAACCATTTCTATGTACTATATCATCTGTCAAACGGATGAGAGCAGCCTGGGGAACAATGGGAACGTTTATTTAATAACATTTGTCTGGCCGTCGAGGCATTCGTGCAATTTACAATAAAAATGTCCATCAGCATAAGGAAAATATTTGTGCAACTCAACAAAAAAAAAACTTATTATACAACAGCTTTGGGGCCAGGCCGCAAATGCGTAGAAATAAATTTTGGCGGCATCTTGGGTGAAAGTTTTCCGGAATGCGTGGGGCATTCAAAGTGCCCTCATTTTATGGCCAGCCCTCCTCATTTCGTTCTGTTTTTGGCGGGGGATTGGTCAGGACAGCTGACGGCATTTTCGGCATGTTTGTTGTGTCAGCAGGGAATCGGGTGCCGGAATTTGGAATACCGAATCGGACCTCGCAGTTTTAATTTATGCCTTTAAAGTTTTATTTAAAAGCGGGGCACAATGGAGGGGCGACCCACAGCGAAGGCGAACCAATCGCCTAACAAATGGCAACAATTTCGCTGGCAAAGTGCTAACCAATTCCATACCCCCACTCCAACTCCAGAAACCCCGAGGACAGACCGAATTCGAATTCCCATTCCGATTACCCTCGCAGAACCCAATTTCGAGGCAAATCGACAAAAAAAAGCAGCAGGGAAAAGTTCAAGTTATTTATTTGAGCGTTTCACATTTTTTATCAGGTCTGCACATTTCTCTTATTTATGGCAAATGATTTTATTTCTCTTCGAGCCAAGTTTAAGTGCGGCCCCCATGCCATTTCCGCCCCTCGAGAAGGCAGTGCACTCTGCTGACAGCAGCAAACACTGAAAGGGAGGAATTATCCAGCTCTTGTAATTGTAACCTTCATTGGAGTTGGACTCCGAGAAGGAGACGGAGATGGAGACTGCGACTTTGACTCCAACTCCGATTCCGGCTGGGAACACAAAGGCGTCCCCTCAAGCATTTGCCAGACATGTTCCAGACACGCCCATTGCCGGTCCCGATTCCGTTTCCGTTCTGTTGCTCATACGCCGCGTGTGTCAACCCCCAGCACTTGATAGAAGGAAACTCCCGATGCAGACTTTTAATTCCGTTCGTACAGGGCAAGAAATCTGGGAGTCACACTAGACCAGATAGAAAAATTCTGGATATTTTTATTAGTATGCCAGTCAAAATAAATCCAATTAAAATCAGTTTCCCTCTAAACTCGAGTATATATTTTATAACAAATTAAATTTGGCATTTTCATCATTAATTTACATTTCATAATAATACTGTCTATAAGATTTAAAGTCATTTAATGATTGATTCAAGCTTAGCAAGCTGAAATTTAAGCTTGCAATTGTGAAAATGTATAGCTTCACATCGAATTATAGTCTGTGATAAATGAATATTAAACATTGTAATACACAACCAGAGCCATCTTATTTTCAGCATTTAGGCTTTCAAATTCGATTTATATTTAAGTGGGCTCTGAATTGATTATTTGTTTGATTAATTATTGGTTTAGTATAACAATTATAAATGTTTCAAGAGCTCTTTATGTGGTTAAGATGTAGGAGGAGCAATTAATGCATTTGATTTTTAGATTTTTCCCTTAGTGCAGCATTTAAGCCCCTCTTTGACTTCTTTTTCAGATCCTGGACGAGCACTACCTGCACAAATACAACGACATCGTGCACAAACACGGGCTAATCACCTCGACTCTGGGCCTGCAGCTGCCGCTGGAGCCGCGCCACTTCCACGAGGGCGACATGCGCGTCAAGTGCCTGGCCAGCATATCGCCGGTGCTGTGGAAGGGGGGCAAGGAGAGCGTCCTGCAGCGGCGACCGGGGATCATCGACAACCGCGAGGCCATGCTGCTGGGTGAGTGACCCCTGGACCCAATGGACCCACTGCCACTGCCACACGGCCACCAACAACTAACGACTCCTAACTAATTCGATTCCCCGTCATTTTTCCCATTTCTTTTGCAGTAAAAGGTGCAGCTGGCCACTCGGAGAGCAGCTTGCTCAGGACACTGACCATCGCCATCATTCTGGCCAGAACAGGGCAGTGGCTACTTGGCTCTGAACTGACCTAAGCCAGTCCCAGAAGATGGCCAGCACCCCATTCGACTCGTTTCAATTAACAAGCATTCATTTCAATTCAATTCAATTGCAATTGCAGAGCATAAATGGTGATTTTGTATACTTTAAGTGTAATATCCTTAGTTCTTAAGCGGCAAGGAAAAAACAAAAAACAGACAAATTGGGTAAATGTGTTATAGCATGTAAAAATCATTAAGCAACGCGAGAGGAAACGAGTTAAATAGTATTAAAGGCAAACAAAAAGAAGAACAAAATAGAGAAACTCCTGTGCGCAGAGACACACAGAATTCAATTAGCAAAATTGTTGAGTAACTAAATTCCAATCCCATATATATGACATATCCCCGCCCATCGTCCCCGGAAATCAAGCCCAGCTGAGGGTTCGTTGTGCGTAATTTCTATGTAAATACTTGAATGGTAGGAATAAAGTCTGGGGCAAACTTTGGACTTCTGTCAAATAATGTCTGAGTGGCATCAATTTCGAATGGTAGCTGGAAACTTTGCCATAACAGATGCTAAAACTACATAATTGCAAAGAGCAAAAATAACGAAAAACAAAAACCAAGGGGGGAAAGTAAGCTGGAAAAGTGCTCTTCTCCCCTCCTTTAGTTACGATTCCGGCAAGTATTTGCTTCCTGACTCCGAAAAGTATTTCCAATTGTATTTAGTTTTGTAAATTAAGTCCGTGGGGAAGAAGCTCGAAAGGAATTAAATTGTTGATGGATCAATTACTGGAGTTTAGTTGTCGCACATCCTAGTCGTACGAACTGTATAAAAGAGAAACCCGGATATGTGTCATATCCGTATTGATAAGAACCTTTGCTAAACTAGAACTGTAAGCTAGGTGTTTAAGTTGTAGCTGAAATGTGGCCCTCTAAAAAGATTCCCCCCTTACTGTATGTAGCGATGCCCCCAGGATAAGAGCTCCCGAAAGATATAACTACTATATATGACGATATGTATATGTATACAATAAATGAGTACGACAAGACCCCCTCCTTCCTTTCTCCCCCCAAAGAGTGTTTAAACAAATATAAATGTGAAAGCAAACCCGAGTTGTCTTCTTATTTTCCACGCTGCCTGCAGATTTCCCCCATACAGATGCAGATACGCAACCGGATACGGAAACGTTATCTGCTACACGCACACACGCGGGCCGTATAGCAGACATTAACACCTGAAGGACCAAAGTTGCTGCTCCTCCTGGCCACCCCCTTTTTCACAGAGGTGTTAAAATCGTGGTTGCCTCTGCCGGGGCCAACAAAAAAGATACAAAAAATTATATATATAGAACATAAAAGCGGCAAAGTTAAAATAACACGTACAAATTTTGTATGCAAACAAACCGCAACGCACACAGACGCAGATACACACACACAGACACGCGTGCACACGCACACAGAGGCACGCGCGGAATGGCGGCGAATGAAAAAATTGCGTGCAGCCTTTTAGGCGCTGCCGGCTAACACAACGCGGTTCGCTTTTATATGCCATTGTAGCCGGCTCCTCTTCTTCTTGGCCAGCATTTTGATGGCGCACTAAACTTTATGCGCGGCACATAAATAGAAATGCACGCAAAAAACTTTCACAAAGCTAGAACCGAAATAAAAACAGTGGTGAAACGGAGGAATGGGTATATGGGTTCCCATTTTTCCCATTTCTTTTTTTGGTGGTTTTTTAGGGCGGTCACACGCAAATGGTTCGGGTCAGAGTGGTATTCATGCGTGGCCCGCGGCAATTCAAGCGCGATCTGTTTACCTTGGGTAAGCCTCCTCTGAACCAACACTAACACTAACCCACTGAGGCCCACCTGGTCACCACTGGGGTCAATCTAATCTGCCTCTGCACTTGGCCATTTTGGTCAAGATTTATGTGTGCCTTGCATTGCATAGGCGGCGCCATTTAAATGTCTGGGTTCAACTGGCTACACCGAAAAAATAAATACGCTTATTTATAATATCATTTGAATAAAAAATATTCGATTTTTATATTTATTGATTTATAAAAAAAATTATCAGGGTTTAAGAACAGACTTTAGATAATATTGTTAAATAGAATGTGAAATGATGCCGTATCTAGCCTTTTTCAGGACAAATCTATTATTTGCTTATAAGAATTTTCGGTTTTCTGCCCATTTTGATAAAATAATAAGTTCTTATTTTTGGTATTGTTACTCTACAAATTCCCTTTTTATTTGCATCACTGATAATTAATGTTTTAGGTCCAACTCTACCCCTTAACATTTTTTAGGAATATGTTTCTTAGGAATATGTAAACCCCTTCTGTAAACTTCTGAAAATTGTATTGCTTTCTGATAATGCCTGAATTTTCCGTGTAACCAAATACAGCAAATCAGCCATCATATGTTCGGGGGCTTGTCGGAAAAGTGGGTGTGGTCAGTTGGCACAGGGTGGTGAAACGGCTGGGGGAAGAAAAAATTTATTGCCAGCGATTGCATAGCTGATAAATTTAGTTTGCACTCTACTGGGCGCGGTCATAGCCTCGCAGCGATGGTGTTGGAAATTATGACGCGTCAATTGGCGGGGGCTAAAATGAGCCCCACCTCCTAGCAACCCAACCTACCAACCACCCAGTTCAGCAACCCTGGCCAAGAGGTGCGTGCGGAAGTGGCTGACTAAATTGCAGCGGGCTAAAACAACAATTGCTTTTGATTTAAGTTGCATTAAATTAGTTTCCACACGGCGGCTGATTAATGAGTGCAGCGAACTTTCTGACAGCGCCAAGTTGCCGCCCAGGAAGTGGGCGTGGCACCTCGGAAAGGTGAGGTCCTTGCCACATACACTTAATCAAAAAAGAGGGCAACGCTGAAAGAAGGTGATCATTGGGCACTTGGCAGATGGCGATTTATGACTACCAACCGAAGCAGGAACTTAAAGTAAATATTTTTAAGCCAAGTTTTCTGTTTTTCTTCACTGATTTTTGCCCAAAAAAAAAATAGGTAGGTTAAAACCCTGTCCATGCATTGCCATGCATAATTTATTACGCCACTCCCGATGCCTGTTAAAGGCAAATCAAAATGCACTTTATTGCACAACGGAATGGAATGGAATGCAGCAAAATAATATGCCATCAGCGTCATTTTCTCCTCGATTGAAATGCAGAAATGAAATGGCTGGTACGTCAGCGGGTGGGCTGACCACTTTGGCCATTTGCATAATATTGATTCCATTTGCCGGCCTCGAAGCCAGTCGAACAGTCGAACACGGCTCGTAATGTCATTTCGAGTGTTTCATGCCCGCCCACGAGCCATGGCATCACATCAGCATCCTTGACATGGCCTATACAAATAAATTCTGCCCAACAAATTGGGTAAATGGACGCAGATGCCCCCTGAACCGAATTGAACCGAGCATGTGAAAGTCATGAGCCACCACAATCAGAGCCGCACTTGAGCTGCTGGGGCCTGGAAATTATGCAAATGGAGACGCAGCCTGATGAACTGCCGCCTCGAACGGCTGCCAATAGAAAAACGCATTTCGTCGATGTTCGGTAATTAAGAGAGCCTGTTGGCCATCTGTCCTGCTGTCCTGCTGACCTGGTCATCGAAAAACGGAACGATAAATGCTAAAATGGGAGCTGCCAGTTGCAGAGCTCCTCAGTTGTTCCAGCAACTGCAGAGTGGGTTGCTCCTAATGAGGTTTAGCTCTCGCAATGCCCAAAACCGGAATCGAGTGGGTTCGTCTTCGCATAGGTCACATCTGCCATGATGATCTTGCAACCCAACCCAACCCATCCCAGCCCCCACAGCTGGTAACATTTGCATGCGAAACTGGCTCGTTACGTTATGAATACCAGAGTTTCCAAAGGCACCGGGCGTTATGTGACCCATCAGGAGGTCAGCTGGAAACTGCAGTGGGCCTCCTATTTACGGCCCAAATTAGCGGTCGAATGATGCACTTTGTGCCGTCGTGTCTCTGGCTCTGACATGCCCATTGCGAGTCGCGGATATTAAGCCTTTGATTGATGGCCGCGAAATGTGGTAATAGTTATCGCTGGCAAAGGGGGGATTTTGTTGGGCTGGCCGGGCACAGTTTCAATTAGCCAGACACCCAGTTAAAAGGGGACACCCCTGCTTCTCAGGGCGGCTGCACAAAGGCATCCCCATAAAGTGGCTACAAGTATGCGGCAATTAGCATTTAACGAGCACCACATGCCAGCCACAATGGCAGGACACGGCCCAGGACAAGGCACCGGCAGTAGTGTCCTCAGACACTGGGGGAGTCCTGTCGACATAATAATATACACACAACTACAACTAGCACACCCCGCCGACACCAACAACATCAGTTGAGGGGGAGAAGGACAATGTCATCGACCAAATACAAGGGCCAGCTCACCCAGTCCCCCAGCAGAAAAAACTCTTTTGTTGCCCGAGTCAACAATTTGAACCCCTTCCAGCTGGGAAACCCCACCTCCCACCAACTCCCCCTAAAATCCTGATTACTTAACTAAATATGGCAGCTTATGGCGAGACACGGCCATTCGCCAGTGGCCAGTGGGCAGTGGCACTAAACTCTCTGATTTACACGATTTGCATACGCTCAGCCAGAGGCGGAACATTCGGCGGACTGGGAGTGCGGGGCCTTAATTAGCAGTCGCGGGCTTTATCCTTATCAGCCAGCAGCTGTCCACCTGACCCCGCGAATACCCAATGAATAATCCGGGACAATGGGTCAGCCGAAGGCTTTAAGTTTCATTAGCAACACAAAGGAGGATTTTCTGGGACACTAAAGCTAGACCATACTGTTCAGAAATGATAGCGATAGTATTATCCCATTGAATAAGTTATATTTATATACAAATTACTACATATGCTGTTGACTCAAGAATAGCGGTTCCCCTCGAAAATGTAGCTTAAGCTTTTAAAAATATTTCAAAATATTTGTATTCATTATTCAATAGATTTGAAATTCCCTATGCTTTTTAGTATATAGTCATGTGAAAGTCAGTTTTACTTATTTTCATTACCTGTGAAACTAACCTGAATAAATCTACCTGTATTGCAACCCAAATCTAGCCAAATAAACTCGTACGATGGAAAGTGAAAACCACAACACGGTTAATTAAGTTTTCTTGCCCCAAAATAAAACTTTCTTTTGTGTTCCACTTGAAGCCCATTCCGTTGCCGAGTTCATTAGCATGTCGCGTCTTCAATAATAACTCAGGGCAAAGACAGGCCAAGGCCCCGGGATCCGTAGTCTTATCAGTGGACTCTTATCTGGGATACATAAATTCCAGCCTCGACTCGGCGGCGGCAAAGTTTCTTGGGGTTCCATTATGCAGCAGGCTGGGAATCGGGGATGAGACCTCCGATTGGGGAGTTGGTGGGGCGCTAATTAAGACACGCAAAGTGCGGCCCTAAGACAAATGGTTCCGTGGCACGTAAGCGGCGCGTCAATCTTGGCCAAGGGCTAAGGGACTCCCTCTTACCATACCACTCAAAAAAAACCACCCGCAGGCTCAGACATTTTCTCAGACTTTGGACATGTTTTGTTCTCGGAAAGTTTGTCGAGAAACTCCCCGACCGCCGATTTGACGCCTCGTAAAAAATGTCAATGAAGTGATTTATAAAAGAGGCGCAGAGCAAGTATGCTAATGCGTTTCTGTTAATGAAAGTTTTTAGGTCCCAACAATTGTACAGTCCTGTTCATTGAGGGTCAGCGGCTTATTAGCCAGTCTATAATCTTGACTTCAACATAATGTCTTCATTTTTTCCCCATTTTGGTTTTGCGTGCCCGGAGTTGCACATTAAATTTTAATGCCATATTTTATGCTGCCCAAATTTACATAAATTTATTGTATTGGTGTGTATGTATTTATGTGGGTACTAATCAAATCAAAAGAGTGACGGGCCTTCCCAGCCCATTTTTTCTATGAATTACTAAACAGACATGCAAACTTCTCGGGAGGTTTTGACTCAAGGCAAACCAACACTCGCATACCTCAATTCAGCCATACACTTGGCAATCGTTCAGGTGCAAATGAGGCCAAAATAATAGTTATAATAATATTACTGACTTACCTATAACATTAAAAAGACCATACAAGTTAAAAGTGCATGTTTATAAATACTTAGTATTTTTTATATAAATATAAATACATTTTTTGCTTCTAAACAGTTTTAGTACCAGTTTTTTGAACTTAGCTGTGTGTGTTTAGATGTGGTTAGAAAAATAGCAGGCCACGTTGCGCATACGACGCGTTGCCTCTTGGCAGAGGGCCAACAGACCGGGGCAACAACAATGCATTTGCTGCAGCAACAGCAACAACGGTTCAAACAACAATAACAACAAGGAGAACCATTGCTCTTTGGGCTCCATTGTTGTGCCACCCTGGCTATATTGTATTTTTTCCTTTGCCCGAATAACGGAAGGCGTTCCAAGGAAGGCGCATGTATAATTAGAGCTATGAAGCATGTCCGGTGAAGTTTGGCATTTAAATGTGGCAACAACAACGAGGCACCAGGCAGCAAGCAGCAGAGGTAGCCAGATCGCCATTTTGCCATTACCAAGTTTGAAATTGGGCAGGGCCCAGAAGAGCTGGGGCATTGTTGTTGGCCAGATATATTTTATAATGCCACAAACATGCACGACTTCGACTCCAGAAAGAGAGTGTGTGTGTGTGTGTGTGTGAAAGTGCACTCCGCTTAGTTTACGTACTGCGCCTCCACATGCAAACAGGACACGGAGGACATGGACATGGAGGAGCACCCGGAGGACAGTCCAAACCTAACCAACCGAATCCCGGGCTTACCCGGGGAACCTGGAACAAGGAACAGGGACAGGAACTTTGTGTGCAACTTTATCTTTTGATTTATACAATAATAAACACAAATGTGCACAAAAGTTCTTTGTACTTTGTTCTTTGCTCTGGCAGGGCGGCAGAATGCCGAAAGTTAAATCGGGAAATGTTTACATGAGCAGTTGACTCCTGCTAATTGGAAGTCCTGTCAGAAGTCGCCTCTCCGGGGATATTACTAAAGCTTATTACGAAGACTTAAAGCCAGCCAAAAATTTGCACTCCCTGTGGGTCAACAAAAAGAATACAGCTGCCACACGAAGGCGGACCGATTTTCAATTGTGGCCCCCTGGAGTTGGGGGCAATTCAATGAATCGTAAGTGGACCGGTCCTCCCACAGAAGTGTGCCTTAACCCATTAAATGCCAGCAACTGCAATCGAACACGCAACCCTTGGCGCAGTCACAAAACGTTAATGCAACCGAGCCGCCTTGCCAACAGTGCTGCCAACTTTGTTTTTCTCTTTAAGGTTCTAGGTTTCTTTCACTCTATTATTATAGGATTTAAACAGTGCCGATTTGTGATGGTACAAACTATAGAAATATGTTAGCATCAAAGATAGGTAAATGTTATTGTAGCATCCTTAAAATGAATAGTGTTTTATTGATACCATTTTAATTTACCAAAACTTTTAATAAGCGTTTAAGATAAATTGAAATATTTTAAAACCGCTTGTTAGGTTTATTGTCAGGATGCATAACATGTATGGTGTTATATTGATGAGGGTGTTCTTATAAGCCATTATATTTAAGGAGCATTTAAAAAAATGATTCATAATCTTCAAAAAATTACTTATCAAACGAGGTAGATATAAAATTCAGCTTCATATTTGAGTTTTATGGACCGATTTTCCCTCGTTTTGGGATCATCACTGCCGTCGAAAAGCCGGCGTTGGAGTTACATGTTCCTGGTTGCCATGTGCCGGCGGTGTCAATGTGGTGCACATTAAGCTTAACACCGCTTAAGCGCGAATACCGTCGAAACGCCACTTTAAGGCGCTGCCTGTAATGGCCAACTCGTTCCCGCTCCCGTTCCAGTTGCCATTCTCATTCGGCATTCGGCGGAGGCGCCGCGTAATAATGTTAAATGTCAGGTGCAATGCAGCTGTCCCTGCCGCAATCGAAGTGGAAATGGTTGGGGATGTGGAAGAGGAAGTCGAACCCGGAGTCGAAGCGCACCAGCAGGCACTAATTAAGTTGCCCGCCAGCCGCGTAACTGCCATAAAATATGCGCAGTGGGAATTCGAATTCGGATCCGGATCCAGATCGCTTTGTCGGCCCGGCCAGACACTTTTGCCCACATTGCAGTTGCACTTGCAATCGTATTCTGAGTTGCACTGCCAATGACTGAGGCAGTTGCACGTAGTTTATGGCATCGGGCTAAGCGAAGTCGACGCGAGTCAAGAAGTTCTCCATTTGTTTCCAGGCTTAAATTTACACGGGACATGCAACCAGAAAGTGTTGGGGGTGGTGTACCCATAGTCGGAAGCGGAGGAGTCGTAAATAAATGTCTTACTCAGTCAGGAGCAAGCTACAAGCTGGTCATAAGAACAAAAAACTTCAGTACTACCAATTACTTTTCTACAAAAATACCATACATTTATTTACTTAAGCTTAAAATATATAAGTTACTACAACTAATAGGAAAGCAGGTTCGTCGATAACCTAATATGCAGGAGGTGGAGGTGTGTTCACCTTAAGTTCTTCTGGGTTTTTCTCTTCATTCTCATCTATCTGTGATTTTTGTTTTTCGAGAGGAGGGTTTGTTCTTTTTGGCACCAGGAAATTACCAAGTCCACCAAAGGGTGCCTCAATGAGTAGATACATCACATAGGCAAAACACATGGTGATTCCAAGGGTTGACCAGAAGCTGAGCATCTACAGAGATAATAGATTAGAGTAAAAAATGTATGCTATAAAACTAAATACAAAAACCCACTATTCTGTAATTTGAGAAGTATGAATTCGTCCTGTTGCTTCGGGCGTTCACTTCCTGGATGAACATGTGCCACATGTAGACGGAGTAGGAGAGTCTGGAGAAGGGTTGCCACAGTGGGGAGGACAGGAAGCTGTCAGCCAGTCCTCCGAACCCCTGCATGCAGGCAAAGATCACCCAGCAAAGGGCCATTGGGAAACCCAACCGGGTGAGGGTGTAGTAAAAGGCCTCCGACACGATGGGAAAGGTAGGAGGACTCCACTGGGCCGCCGGGTAGAGGGCAAAGATCGAGGTGGCGAGCATGGCCAGACAGAGGATCCATCCTGACAACACGGCTAGCCAGCTTAGCTTGAACTTTTTGGCCCTGTTCAAGTGCAGGAAGTAGCCGAAGAGAAAACCAATCAGCCAAGGCATAGCATGTGTATGGGTGGGATAGTACAAATACTTCTGCGCCTTTAATGAATATTGCCTGGAAAAAAAAGATTATCTTAGTATTTCACAGCAACATTACAAGTCAATATCACTTACTTCATCACCAATGAGTAGTCATTAACCACCATGGTGGCGAAAAGACAGCCAGACAGCAATACTATGAGGACGAAGATACCAGCAGCAGCCTTCTTTCCCCATTTGTAGACAGCTATCAGCAGGATCGGCGAGATAAGGAACATTTGCATGTCTACCGATAAATACCAGGTATGTCCGAGGCACTAAAGTCCAAAGAACGTCTATGTTAACTCGATTAAGATTAAGAAAATTACTCGGACCTACCCTGTCATTGGTGTAGTTATTTACGAAAAGCAAGGTCCAATACCAACCCCTCTCACACATAGCCTTTTGTGTATACCCACGGGAAAAAAGAGGACCGCTTGTGATCAAGGGCATAAGTTTTAAAGAGACTACAATGGCCATCGCCAAAAGGGGAACAATGCGGATTATGCGATGTAGATACATTAGAGGAACATTTAGTTTGCCCTTAGTTCTGCGGAGGAAATTAAAAGTAAAATTGGTATTATGAAATATGAACAGAAAAACTATCTTACTTTTCCATCATTCGCAGTGTAATCATAGCCACCAACAATCCGCCGAGCACGAAAAACGAATCCACTGAGAAATAGCCATGCAGAATAAAACTGGCATATGGTGTCTCCTCCCACTAAAAATGATTAATTTTCAAATACTTTTCCGCAAATTACTAGTAATTTTCTTACCGAGTAAGCATCAAACAAGTTTATATTTGCGTTAAGCAGAGTTATCACATGTTGATGGCAAAAAATCACCCAAACGAGTGACAGGCAGCGGATTCCATTGAGGCAGTCGATAACATTCGGATTCGAATTGGGTTGTACAACGCGGAATAGAGCCCTGGAGTTGGCCCTGGCCGAGAAAACCTTGACAATGGCTGGAAGCTGATCTGAAAGTTAACAAGTCATTGTGAAATTTCAAACGCAACGATTATTTTTTGTTAACTCACCCTGATTCTTGACCAGACAGTAGTCCCACAAGGTAAACAAAGCCACCACAGCACCCATGAACGATAAGATCACTCTGCAATCAGAAGCATTAGCCGGTAGCTGATTAAAAAGTCTGCACGCTTACATCATGAAAATGGTGAGTCCATCCCAGGGTTCACTTTCGCTGGTCTGGCAACTGCTATCGCGGATACTCATGGCGGTGCTGGGAATGCTGACGTTGAGCAACTGCTTCACCATCTGACCCACAAACGTGTTCATTTGAGCGGCCGAGCAGGAGGCCGGCAGGCAGGTGCCGGTTCTGAAGGTTCCCAAGATCGTATAGTTGAGCCCCAGCATTTTGGCGGGAGACACTGAGAGAAAACAGAACTTTCCTTGGATGGTTCTGCCCAGGCTGGTCTCTTTCTTGATGTTCAAACACTCGTCGAAGTTGCCAAGGTCGTATACGTTGCCGGTAAGCAGACCCGAGGGTATGGAGCCCCAGGCATCAAACACTGGGTTAACACAAATATGTTGGTCATAAAAAATACTTTTTCGGCTTTCCAAGGTTAACTTACTTTTCAGTGCCCAGAATTGACCGCCTTGAAGTCCCGCCACTAAGGCAGCCAGATCACTAAGGCACAGCAGATCATCCTGCGTTGGCAGTCTAGAGTCCAAAGCGTTTAAATCATCCTGATTAATACTCTGTAGGTGCCCAGCAATCTCAAGTCCCAAGGATCTGAGTTTCTTGATTCCCTGTAGCTCCTGCAGGACATCTTCTTCCTTCGATTGTGCGGCACTAATAAGCGCAAGTGCGCAGAGAAAAACTACTCCGACTATGTTGACCATGCTGGCTCAACTCTTATTGATTGCTTCTTACGGATTCGAAACCCTTTTTATATGCGAATTAGCCTGAGATAAGCACCGTCTGCGAGCACAAAGGTTGATATTACTCATAAGGTGGTTTCTATTGAAAGTAAGCGATAAGCCCGTCAACTTATCGGTAAACAATTGTTTGTCAATACTTCAAAATATAGGACTAATAGATACTTTAAGAGTTTAAAACGATATCAGAGCAGGGATTAGCTAATATTTAAAGTAGCTTTATCGCATGACACGGGACATTTCTTTATGTGGAGCAAGGGAATAAACAAATATTTTTAAGCACCTGCAATAAATTGCGTAATACGGGTACCAATGCACGTGTGCTGGTCTTTTTTAATGAAGTCATATAAACTTCGGAATCTAATCAGCTGGTGTTACAGCAGTTGCCTCCAGTTCTCTTTGCTTATTTGGGTCAACATCACCAGAAGTGTTTTCCAAAAAAGGCCCAGTGAAATCCATTGAAGACCCGCAATAAAGCATCTGAAAAGTTGTATTTAAATTAGAAATCCATCCGGTCTTATATAGATCGAAAGAACCTACCACTTGAGAATTCGAGAAAAAAGTATTGGACCTTACAAATCGTTGATATGATCAAGGCACTAAAATATATAAAACTACTCGGCGAACTCAATAACCAAGGGATAGAGTTTTTTAAAGACGCTGAAGTTCCTGCAGGAGACTTTTGTCTTCAGGGTGCGTAACGCTAATGAGGACGAACCCATTGAGCAAAATAAGACTCAATGTTTTGACCATGCGAACTGAAAGGGAATGAACTATTTCTGTGTAAATCGGCAGAGCTTATATACTAGCGATAACGACCAATTCCGATTATAGGCAAGGTTAAGGCAGAGATACTAATAAAATGATCAGGAAAATTCAATAACTCAGTAAAATAATAATAGTCAATTCGTAACGTACTAATCTAGTCATAAAAGGTTTAATTCCACTGAAGGCTTTATCAGTCCTAGTTTATTAAGAACTTAAAAAAAAAACATTTCGCTTGAGTCTGTTTTAGATTGTCTATCATTTTTATTAAGAAAGTTATTTGCCTTTAAAGATGAGCGGAAATTATTTTATGAAGAAATATTAGAGCTACAAACACTTTAGCATGTATATTTTAAGTGATACCAAAAGGTTCATTTGACAATTTAAGTACTTTTCATATTGAATCGTAGTAATACTTAGCTAGTTTTAAAATGTTCAAAAATAGTTGTCGATTACCAAGAGTTAAATAAAAATCTTTAACGGCTAGTACATTTCCTGTTAATACAGCTGATATTACGTTATCTGTGAATTCGTAGTATTCCATATGATGATCAGTACATGATTTAGTGCCTTATCTTAAAAATTATAAAAAGCGAACATGTCGCTCATTCTGAATTCCCCATTTTTAATCACGTGTTGAGGGACTTACTGTTTTTGACAATTTCATTAATAGCCTCTTTATTATTTCTTGAGAATTTTATTCAAATAGGTAATCAAATCAGCAAATTCAATAGCTGGGCGAGTTTTTTGAATGGACTTAGCAGAACACTCTGTTATCGGTTCTCGACAGTTAGAAACTGTCTTAATCCAAGGAAATAATTATTTAGAAAAGGTTTTTTCGAATGTAGGTAATATTGTTGAAAGCTTTTATTTCATGAACTTTTCTTGTACATATGGCATATGGGTATAACATTCCATTTATCGGTAGACAACCAAATCATATCTATTTTAATTATACTATAACTTATGTTAGTGCCTAATCAGTTTGAATTTGAGAGCTCGTTTTCCTTCCATTGAAAACTTTTAAATTTCTTGTCCTCCCATCATCTTTCTGATTCTGCTGCACTTCCTCTGAACTTGCTTTTGAATCGTTGCCAACAAAAGCTATTTTCTGAGGTCGTAAAAATAGATCCAGCCCGCTAACAGGTGCCTCAACCAGAATATACATTAAGTAGGCCAGCAGCACGGTGAAGCCAAAGGTCGACCAGAATCTAAGCATCTGTGAGGATATTAGAAATATCAGAACCAAGACGTTTAACAATATGTCCGACAGAGTTTACTTACCACTTGGTAATCCGAGTAGTACGAATTTGTCCTTATATTTCGAGAATTTATTTCTTGAATAAATTTGTGCCAGATGTAGACGGAATACGAGAGTCTCGAAAGAGGTTGCCACAATGGAGAAGACAGGAAGCTGTTGGCCAAGCCCCCATATCCTTGGATACACGCGAATATAACCCAACCAATAGCCATTGGCCAGCCCAAGCGGGTGAGGGTATAATATGAGGACTCTTCTAAGGTAGATAGAGGAGGAGCGCCCGATTTAATAGCCGGATAAAGGGCAAAGATCGAAGTGAAGATCATGGACAGGCAGAGAATCCATCCTGACCACACTGCCATCCAGCTCAATTTAAACTTCTTTCCCTGGTTCAAATAAAGAAAGTATCCGAAAAGAAATCCCATAAGCCAAGGAGTAGCGTGAGTGTGGGTGGCGTAGTAAATCTTCTCTCGAGCGGTAGAACTGTAATTCCTGTTATAAAATATAGAAACATTTAAACAATTTAAATATATTAACCATGACCGTTTTAGTTACTTCAGCATCGAGTAGTTGTTGACCATCATAGTGGCAAAGAGGCAGCCAGAAAGTAATACTATCAGGACAAATATTCCAGCTGCAGCCTTTTTTCCCCATTTGTAGATAGCAATTAACAGGATCGGAGAAATTAAGAATAACTGCATATCCACTGCCAGATACCATGTGTGATGTAAACACTAAATAATAGGTGCGTTATTTACAGGGATAAATATTGTTATTGAATGCTATTCCACCTTATGCTTTGTGTAATTAACCACAAAGAGCAGGGTCCAAAACCAACTCTTCTGACATTCCGATTTGTCACTATATCCATCCTTTAAAAGAGGTCCTCCAGCCACCACACCCATTAGCTTTGTGTACACCAGTATAGCTACGGCTAAGATAGGAACAATACGGATCAGGCGATGAAGATACATCATCGGCACATTTAGTTTTCCCTTGGTTCTGTAATGAGGTTAACAAAATTGTTATTACTTATATTTCTTTGAAACTTTAATTTTCTAACTTACTTGTCCATCATTCTTAGGGCAATTAAAGAAACCAACAAACCACCGATGAAGAAAAAAGAATCCACTGAGTAAAAGCCATGTACAATAAAGCTGGAGAATGGCATTTGCACCCACTAAAAAATCGAATTAATTTTAAGATCTTTGGAAAAGTTTAAAACTTACCTGCAGGACTTCAAAATAATTAATATTTACTGATGACATTTGGGTCACATACTCGTGGCAGTAAACCACCCAGAAAAGGGACATGCAACGAATTCCAGAAAGGCAGTCGATTACATTTGGGTTTGACTTGTTTTCCACGATGCGAAAAATTGTACGTGAGTTGGCCCTAGCCGAAAAAACCTTTAATAATATAGGAAGTTGATCTGCAAAAAGGGATATTGTTAAATCATTATATTGACTATTTTTCCAGCCCACCTTGATTCTTGCAGAAAAAGTAGTCATACAGCGTTAGGAAAGCTACGACAGAGCCCATCAGTGATAAGATGACTCTAAAATAAGAAAGGTTTATTTACGCATCACAATTTGGTAGAAATATGGAGTAACTTACATTGCGAAAATAGTAAGACCATCCCAGGGTTCGCTTTCATTTGTTTGGCAAGTGCTGTCGCTGATACTCATTAATGAGTTAGTAATATTCAAATTTAGTACCCTCTTCGTCAACTGAGCCAAAAACTTGTTCATATGGGAGGCCGAGCAAGAAGCCGGAAAGCAAGTTGCGGTTGTAATGGAAAGTCCCTGAAATTGTTTAGGTGATGCTGTTAGAAAGCAATACTTTCCACGAATGTTCTCCTTTTCGATGTTGATACACTCGTCGAAGTTTCCCAAGTCGTATAAGTTTCCACTTAAAATACCAGAAGGTATAGAGCCCCAGGCATCAATCACTGTCGATACCAAAGAAAAAAGAAAAAATAAATAAAATTACATGAAATTAAGAAATATCTTTCTCACTTTTCAAAGCCCAATATTGACCGCCTTGTAGAGCCGTCATAAGCTTGGACATGTCACTAAGGCACAAAAGATCCTCCTGAGTTGGTAGTCGGGAGTCAAAAAGACTCAAATCGTTCAGCGTTACATTCTGAAAGTAGTCGGCGAACTCAGTACCCAGAGGCTTCAGATCCTTCAGATGATGAAATCCTTGCAGACCTTCCTTGTCCCCAAGGCGTGCTGCCCCGACTAGGACAATAGCACCTAGCAAAATAAATCCCACCCGCATGTTGCCTTAAATGTTAGTAACTGCTTATGCATACAATTTTATGAACTTATATAGGCATTATCAACAGATAAGCATATTACCAAAAAACTCGTCAGTGGTCACCGATTGTGGGTAATCTTTTATATGAACAGGTTGACAGCAGGTTGACAATTTGAAGACCTAATCGATCTTTAACAAAAACGCATAGGGAACTAAGAGTGTTTATATGGATTTTATTTAGAGCCTCATTATAATTTCTTTAGAAACGTATTTGCATTTTATAATGGTACTCCAAAGTAGCAAATACTTTAATCAGTGATCAATACTTGGAACTAACTTATTTTTAATTGAGTGAATACTAATCGGATTTTCTAATTGCTACCAATATCTGATTAGGGTTTTTTTCTGGTTGATTTTCGGCGGGTGGTATATTGGAGGAAGAAATATGGTTTTGCGCAATGGACTTCTTTTTCGGTTTCAGCAGACTGTCAAAGCCTCCCAAGGGGGCTTCAATGATGAGGTAAAAGAAATATGACAACATAACAGTAAAGCCAAAATCGGACCAAAATTTAAGCATCTAAAAGAAAGAAATGGGGATTCGTTAAAATGGAAATCAAGTTATTACATAGAAAACTAAACATACCACTGTGTAGTCTGAGAAATAGGTACTGGTTCTGGAATTCTTGCAATTTATCTCCACGATGAACATGTGCCAGATGTAGACGGAGTATGAAAGTCTTGAAAGTGGTTGCCATAACGGTGAGGAAAGAAAACTGTTGGCCAAACCACCATAACCTTGCATACAGGCAAACACTATCCAACAAAGGGAAATTGGCCAGGCTAATCGGGTGAGGGTGTAATATAGGGACTCCTCCAGAGTGGACAGAGCAGGAGCACTCCACGTAGCGGCCGGATAAAGAGCGAAAAGCGATGTTCCCAGAAGGGCTAGGCAAATGGCCCATCCTGACCACACGGCCAGCCAATTTAGCTGGAACTTCCTGCCCCTACTCAGATGCAAAAAGTATCCAAAAAGGAATCCAATCAGCCAAGGAGCTGCGTGCCTATGGGTGGCCTGATAAAGCATGTGATTAGCCATATTGCTGCCACTCGTTTTTCTGCAATCGATATATTGTTATTGAAGTGCTTTAAAGATACATTTCTGATACCTACTTGATCAAAAATGAGAAATTGTTGATCATCATAGTGGCGAAAAGACAACCCGAAAGCAGGATAATAAGTAAGACAATCCCAGCAGCTGCCTTCTTGCCCCATTTGTAGAGAGCGATAAGTAGAAGCGGGGAGATGATATACAGTTGCATGTCTACTGCCAAGTACCAAGAATGACCTAGGCACTAAAAATATATAGAAGTTAGCCATCTTCTAGATTAAGTTCCTATTAAAACTTACAATATTTTCTGTGGCATAATTCTGGATAAAAAGCAGGGTCCAAAACCAGTTGGTTTCGCAGGTATTTCTTCCACTGAAACCATCATAAAATAGAGGACCACCAGACACAAGTGGCATGATCTTCATATAGATAAGAATGGCCATGGCCAAAACGGGAAGGATCCGAATCAAGCGATGAAGGTACATCAAAGGAGCATTTAGTTTACCCTTGGTTCTATAAAAAACGAATTAAAAATAAAAGCAAATCTATTCAAAAGCACTTACTTATCCATTGAGCGCAGAGCAATCATGGACACCAACAAGCCACCCAGGAAGAAAAAAGAATCCACAGAGAATACGCCATGTAGAACAATATTGGAATAAGGTTGCTCAGCCCACTGGAAAATTAAAAGTTTTTAGGGTTCCTACAAAATATAAGAAGTGGACTCACGGAAAAAGCATGCACAAAGTTAATATTTGGCATGGTGACAAAGTAAAGATTGACATGGGAAAAGACTACCCAAATGATGGACATGCAACGGATGCCGTGAAGACAATCGATCACATTTGGATTAGATTTAGACTCCACAATGCGAAAGAGAACTCGGGAATTGGATCTAACTGAGAAGGCCTGTATAAGTGCTGAGGGTTCATCTGTGAATGGAGATCAACATAGTACTTAATTCAAAATAAAGGCAATAGGATGGTCTACTCACCTTGGTTTTTGTTTAGAAAATAATCGTAAAGGGTAAAGAAAGTCACCACCGAGACCATCAAAGATAAAACCACTCTGTCAAATATATAAATTGTTAGTACTCTGCAAGCATACTGTACTCTATCAAACATAATATTGGACTTACACAGTGAATATGGTCAAGCCATCCCATGGTTTGCTATCTATAGTCTGGCAAGAGGCTTCGTTGATACTTAAGCTTGTAGAACTATTCGAACCAATCAATTGTTGTAAAAGTTTTCCCACAAATCCCTCCATTTGGGTAGCTGAACATGAGGCCGGAAAACACGTGGCTATGTTTACTGGTCTCGCGTTTAAGGCCGGAATACCAAGTAGACCCCCAAAAGGTGCAGAAATAAAGCAATACTTTCCTTGGACACTATGATCGCTGGTGATCTGTTGACTGATCTTAAGGCACTCATCAAAATTGCCCAAGTCGTAAAAATTACCATACAAAAGCCCCGACGGAATGGAACCCCATGCATCGATCACTAAGAATAAAAATAGTTTTTAATAAAATAGTATTTAAAAATGAATCACTTACTTTTAATAGCCCAATAATTGCCAGCTGCTAAACTTTGCATTAATATTGCCATGTCTCCCAAGCACAAAAGTTGATTCTCTTTCGGCGATCCCGCATAAAAGTCCAAATCCAAATCCCTGGTAGAAACATTTTGGAAGTGTTCTGCAAACTCTACTCCAAGTGGTCGCAGATGCTTAAGTCGCTGATATTGCTTTAAAAGCTCAGTTTCCTTCAGTTCTGAGGCCCCGATGAGAACCAGTCCGCTGAGCAAAAAAATGGTAATAACTCTGGCCATGGTCGTTTGATTTCGACTGACTGGTTTTACCTTCATTGTTTGGTTTTATTTCGCTAAGACCCTTGATTAAATTTTGGGATAAGAGTAAACGTGATAAGCTGGCGTTTCAGTTGGCCAGCCGATTAGAAATACGACAGGAGACATCTAGTCGGTTAATTCCCCATTTCAAGCTTGCCGACTTCCCCGATAGTGTGCATTCAGCTAGACTTCAGGGTACTCGAAACAATGTGTTTGATATTTATTATCAGGCTGAGCTAATCACTATGTTGATTTACTATCAGGTAGTCTGATATTGAACTTCTGAGTAGTGGTTATTGAACCCACACGAACAAGTGTGGAGAGATATGTTGGCTAACTGCCTGGCATAATGTTTGAAACACAGGTCTGAATACTTTATTCCTTGAGATATCACATTATAAACTATATTTATTAAGCTAACATGTTATTTTTGCACATCAGAGGCGGTTATTGGCTCTGATTCTTTTGGCCTTCTTGTTTCTAGATCATTCTGATTAGAAACTAACTTTGGTTGATCAGCAGCAGGAGGATTTCTCTGGGGTCGCAGAAGAATATCAAATCCACAAAGAGGAGCTTCGATGATGAGGTACAAGAGGTAGGACATCAGAGCAGTAAACCCAAAATCATACCAGAAATGTTTCATCTGAAAAAAGGTGAAGGGAAATCAAGGTATTAAATTATTAAACTACTATTTAAAATATAACCTACCATAGAGTAGCTGGAGAAATATGTGTTTGTCCTGACACTTCTGCTGTTCATTTCCTGAACGAACATATGCCAGATATACATGGAGTAGGAGAGCCTTGAAAATGGCTGCCACAGAGGTGAGGAAAGGAAACTATTGGCCAGACCTCCATAGCCCTGCATGCAGGCGAAGATTATCCAACAAATGGCCAATGGCCAAGCGACTCGGGTGAGGGTGTAGTACAGAGATTCCTCCAGAGTGGACAGCGGAGGAGCACTCCATTTACCCGCTGGATAAAGGGCGAAGATCGAGGTGAAGAGCATCGCCAGGCTGAGGATCCAACCCGTCCACACAACTAATGGGCGCATCTGGAATTTCTTGCTGCGATTCAGATGCAGAAAATACCCAAATAGGAATCCAATCAGCCAGGGTGCAGCGTGAACATGCGTGGCCAAGTACAGCTTCTTATTGGGAACCCCGTCATCGTCACCGCCATTTCTGTGAAAAAAGAGATACGTAAGAACATTGCTTCATACAAGAAATTCAGGATACCTACTTAACAAGCATCGAGTATTTGTTGACCATTTGAGTGGCAAAAAGGCAACCCGATAGCAACACCACAAGCACAGCAATTCCAGAAGCCGCCTTTTTCCCCCATTTATAAAGAGCAATCAAAAGAATTGGTGATATAATAAACAGCTGCATGTCCACCGCCAAATACCAAGTGTGATCGAGGCACTAAAATACATTAAATAATTATTATTATTAAACAAATCTCCATTAAATGGAGGCCAAATGTTTCCGAACTAATTAAAAATGCATGCTCTGTAAAAGCTTTGTCAAGCACTTTCATTCAAACATTCTGATATCTCTATTTATCAGTTATTTCCGAGTAGTCACCATAACCTGTCTGATTAAGGATTAGATATAATGTATTACTCACAATGTGCAGTGCTGCATAATTCTGAATGAAGAGCATGGTCAAGAACCAACCTTTCTCACAACTCTCTTTCCCATGATACCCATTTTTTAGCATTGGTCCACCACTGACAACGGTCATCATTCTCATGTAGATTAGTATGGCCATCGCTAAGACGGGCACAATGCGAATTATACGATGCAGATACATAAGAAGCGGGTTCAGTTTTCCGCCAGATCTACAAAGAGTTTGGGTATTAGCAAAAATCTTGGACACCCCTTAGTATACCTACTTCTCCATAGAACGTAAAGCAATCATGGATACCAATAAACCTCCGAGAACGAAAAATGAGTCTACTGTGAAGTATCCATGTAGCACAAAACTAGCAAAGCGTTCCACGGCCCACTGAAATATTTTTGTTTTTTATAACAAACTGTATATCTGTGCATCATTACTTATACGTACCGAATATATATCAGCCTTGTTTAGGTTGGGTGAAGTAAGAGCATATATGAACTCATGAGAGAAGATAACCCAAAAAAGTGACATACAGCGGATGCCATGAAGGCACTCTATTATATTTGGGTTCGAGTTGCTCGGAACTATACGAAAAAGAGTGCGAGAATTGGCCCGAGCTGAGAAAGCCTTTACCAGGGCTGGAATTTTATCTGAAATGAACATTCTGGTTGATAACTATAGAGTTTAAGAATGCATTTAAGGACTCACTTTGATCTTCGCACAGAAAGTAATCATATAATGTAAACAATGTGACAAGGACACTCATCACAGATAGTATCACACTTAATTTAGAAATAATATCAATCTCAAAACTCAGATTCTAACAAATTAAACGATATACTTACATGGTGGATATAGTCAGTACATCCCAAGGGTCACTTTCACTTGTTTGGCAGCTCGCTTCGCTGATCTTCAAAGTTATATTGACACTATTAACGTAAGGAATTCTATTCAAAATTTCCTTCACAAAGGGTTCCATTTGAGTGGAAGAGCATGAAGCAGGAAAACAAGTTGCAATTCTTAAGTTGTTGGCTATGAGGAAGCAGTACTTTCCACTTATTTTCCGACTACCGATCACTTGATATATTGAAAGGCATTCATCAAAGTTCCCAAGGTCAAAGTTGTTCCCGGTCATTATTCCCGAGGGAATGGAACCCCACGAATCTATCACTGATATATAACAGAGTATAAGAACTTTGTTTTCTTTCTTTAGTTCTGAGTGACTCACTTTTTAATGCCCAATACTCGCCGGATGAGAGTGCACTCATAAGTGCTTCCATTTCCTCCAGACATAATGTGTCATCCACACTGGCCAACCTGGAGTCCGATAATCCCAAGCTCTCCAGAGTTAAATTTTGAAAGTACTCTATGAATTCCACTGCCAGGGGCCGCAGATGCCTTAGGTATCCATGCCCTTTCAGGACATCAGGACTTGTAGACTCTGAGGCACAAATAACGACCAGCCCATAGAGCAATAAATAACTAATCAATTTTACCATTATATTTCGCTTACGATTGAGAGCTTTTAGTCAATAGACCGTGATTTTATACGGCAAATCGAATCGAATCGAATTTGATGATAAGCGCTATCTACAATTATGACAACCGATTAGCAAATACTTATTGTGGGGTAACAGTTTATATATTGGACAATAGACATCTCAGTCGGACATAAGCTCACATCGAAAGCTGTTCTGTTTCAAATACTTTGAATTTAGATCTTAATCGCTTTGACATTGTGTGATTGAGTAGATTTTTAATACTTAATTCTTTTCAAATAAAATAATTTTCTTTGGAATATATATGTTGATGTTTTTATAATCAGTCCAATTTACAGATTAGTTAAGTACGTATGACTTTAATTAAATACTAATCAGTTCAGGCAGCCTATTTATTTTCGGATTCATTGTTATTCGTCTTGTGCCTCACAACAGAAGTCAGTATAGGTTAAAAAACAGCTGGAGGCTTCACATTTCCAGTGGGTCTTCAAAGGGCATCAAGTCCACCGATTTGCGCCTCAATAATGAGATACAAGGCGTGTGATATAACCCGGCTGATGCCAAAGTCTGACCAAAAGTTGAGCATCTAATAAAAATTATATATGAATTGAAAAATGAATAGTAATAGTAATAGTTCATAGTCAATATTCTGGGGCAGAGTGGCCTTAGCACAGTTAAGATGGTGATTAACCAATTGAAGGTCGTTCTTTAATTGTTCAGCACAAATTAGTCCAAGTTCGCAAAGAAACCAAACAGCAACACCGTTGACCATGTTAAATCGTTTTTGTTTGATTGATCTGGCCTGGTCATAAATGCTTTTATACGACAACACTCTTGGCGCAATCTTGCGATAGGTATTATCAACGGGTATCCCAATGGGTGTTGCTTTAAGGGATTTCCAAATAGCATGAAATCCAAATGATGTGGTGGTTACCTTTTTCGAACCAAGCGAGTAAGTGTTGGATTTCCTTAAAGCTTCTAGGTATTGATTCTGTATGGGGCACATTAAGGGGCACATTATTAAGGACTCACACACCTTTACAAACAAGAAATCGTAATAACAGCTCCGTGCTTCAATGAAAATTTCCATCCTACTTATTAACCACACTTTCTCCACTCACATTTTTTTGCTCCCAGCTTGAGCCCGACGTAAAGCTATTAAATATTTTTTTCCCAATAATTTTCAAAGCATTAGCTCATCATCAATTTGCTGCTTTGTGAAATTGGCAGCAATCACGTTATGCTCACCCAGCCACGCCTCCAAAAAACCCACATACCTAAATATAAGCGGGAAAAGAGGAAAAATAGGGAAAAGCAAACACACATACTGGGTGTATACATATACACACACACACCCACCTATACTTAAGCACATTTGCTTAATTTTCGAAATGAGTTCGCATGACTTACAACCACCCACCAGCCCACATCTATCATCCAGTATCCTTTATGGCCGACTCTTCTTTCGCCTTTGACGCCGGGTTCTGAGTCATTCGTTTGCTTTCTCGTTGATTAAATACGGAAATTGTTTGACTTTAGTTAGGCGCATGCAATTAATTAAATTAGAGCACCCGAAAAACCATCAAACAAGCGGGACACTCGATGAAAAGAGTTCAAAGTGGGATATCATAAGGACAAGTGACACAAAATAGTATATACAATAACTGAAATATTTTAAATTTAATATCACACTCACATCGAAATCTTAAAACCACTATGTGTATCAGTCGGTATAACGATTTATATCCATTAATTTATGCCTTCCGCTGTGACTACGAGCATTGGAGATCCCTGGGTTGGATTTCAAGGCGTTTATTGGCTGGACTTCATGCAAATTTCAATTTAGCCCGGGAACCCAGAACAATCCCAGCCAGCTCCTTGGGCTCCACGGGTTTACGACTTTATTTCATGACAGATTGTCATTTCGGGCGGCGAAAAGTGTAACACGCCAATCCCCGGCTGGCATAATGAGGGAATGGCGTTTTTTCATCATATTTTATTGGGCCAAGGAGCTGCGCTATTCATCATGTATCCGCGCATATGAAACCCATTTGGCCCAACTCATCACCATCGCCATCGTCATCGCCATCCAATCCTGGCAGACGCGGCACGTGCCATAAAGCGGCGTGGCCAATAAAGTCGGTGCCGTTCGTTCGTTTTGGGCGATAATAAACATGCTAATGCCCATTAAGAGGAGAGTTTGAATTGAAAATCCCCAGAAATTAATGCCAGCGCCGACGTAACGTGGCTTTAGTTAATTGAACATGTCGACCGTGTAAATGCATAATTAAATTACTTCAACTTTAACTAAATCGCACACACGGTTGGCCAGAAAGGTGCGCTTAAATACTTCATTAGAAGCAATTCATTTGTTTAAACGGCTGGGAAAAGAGCGTGTGCCACATAATTGAATGCACTACATGCTGCACATCTGTCTACCGGTCCATGTAATTACGTTAATTGGCCTCAAATGCTATTAAATGTTTACAAAACAGAAAGGGCTTGCAATTATGTCGAGAGCACATACTAAAAATAGTTTAAATACTATGCGAAATTCGTGGAACAAAGTTTTACATTTGCAATAAGCTGAAAGCGAATGTATAGATTTTAAGTTCGGTAGACAATCATTATATTTAATTGTGGAAATATAATTGCATTGACAAATCTGATTTTGGTTATGAAAGTGTTTTGCAAATAATACGATTTGTCTGCTATGTCAAGTTTTTTAATAAATAATGTTATGTAAATTATTTGCCTCGCTCTAGGGGGAAAAAATAGAGAACAGTGCACGATTAGTTAGTCCAAGAGTAAATAATAAGGCAGAAATTAAAATAAAAATGCTTTAAATGTACTAAGCCTAACCATTGAACATAATATTACATGGGCATACAAAAATGTTAGGAAATATATGTATATCTTAAAAATGCTCATTATGTTTCATGTATTGGGAAAGGTAATCTGTATATTTTACTGTGCACTATATTAAATGTCTGTTAAATAAAAAAAAAAGAAAAAAAACTTTGTCAGAAGTGGGATTCGAACCCACGCCCTCAGAGAGGACCAGAACGCTCACACACCCTTCTGTGAAGGGTAAGACTGAATCTTGAGTCTGGCGCCTTAGACCGCTCGGCCATCCTGACACGTTGCGAGCGAGTGCGCAAAAACCCGTTCAAAGGCTACGCCCCTCTGTTCCCAGTTGAAATCGGGGAGTTGTTCGATTCTCGGGGAGGGTTATTAACTTCTGCTGCTACAATGATGATGATTATGATGATGATGGAGCGTTGGGCTAAAAAGCAATACCGCAAACACACATTTTCACACCCAAAGTCGCATGTCTAGAAGCTATTTATAGACTGCCCCCACTTCTCTCTCACTCACTCTCTCTTTTGAAAAGCTCGCGTGTGTATGCTTTTTAGTGGGGAAGAGTGAAAAGTGGCTCTTTAATGGGCGCATTGCATACTTTCGGGCACAAATCGAGTTCATTGTTGGGTTCCAATGCAGCCCAAAGTCGATCAGGGAATCTATAACCTTCCATAATTACTTGCCATTTGGGCAGATGACTTTTCGTTACACATTAATCCCGTCCAAAATCTGAGGGCAGGCTCAAGGGCAGACAAAGAGCAACTTTGGCCGAGTCCATTCAATTTCAATTTATCAAATGCTTCAGCAATTTCTCTAATTGAATTTCGTTTCATTTGGCATAGCATAATTTATAAAATATAACATTTCAATGCCGAACCCCGACCCCCTCGCATTGATGCCATTCACTCAGACCGGCTCTCTAATCCATTGTAAGGAACCCAGGAACCCAGCAGCAGCCCAGCATCCCGACATCCAATCATTTTGAGCGCATTCCGCCTTCGCCTGCGATAAGTTTGCTTATAAATCACAACTGTCCGATGGCCGGGAGGATGGAGGAGCATCCTGCAGGCTTTTAAATCGATGAGCACATCGCCGGATTGACAATAATATTTTAAAAATAATTTTATTATTTCATTCAGCCGGGCACTCATGCAGACACACAAGGGAAAGTTCTGGAGAGGAAGGAGATGGTGGAGGAATAGGAGGTTGGAATGGGGAGTGGACTCCGGCAGGATGTCCATCAGTTTTGATAGAGCCCCCCGGTGCCCGGTCAAGCGTGAATGTAAACGCAGCTCGGACCCACTCAAGGGGCAATAATACAAATTTGAGCTCTTCGTACGCTCCCCTCTATCCCTCTTTAATTAAACGACAAAATGCGAAATCTAATTGTGTTTGTCTTTTCGGTAATATTCAAAAGAATTACAATAGTCTAGGCCCTGGGCCATCGCAGGTCGTACTGCCCGATAACGTACTTCAGCTTCCTGATGGCCAGCTCCACCTGCTCGTCATCCACCTGGTGATAGAGAACCACCCTGGCAAATGCCCAATCCCGGGCACTGGCCTTCACCACGATTCCGGCTCCTTTCTTATCCGTGACTCCGGCTTCCAATTCTCCGGACTCCACAATGCCCAGACGAGTGGAGAACTCACTGGCGGTCAGTTTAGGTTGAGTAATCTCCACCAGAAGAATGTTGGTCTGCACAGTCTCTAGATCCACAGTGACATTGGGGCTTTTCAGTTCGAAAATAGCTAAGCAGAGAAATAATGTTATGAGTGAAAAACAAAGTTGGGTGTTAGGTCTTACCCTTGGCTAGTTTTTTGGTCCGCTCATGGTCTTTGCCTAGAAGTGGCACCACTTCTTCCAAGGCTACGAGTCCAGCTGCTGCCAGGATGCCCACCTGCCTCATACCGCCTCCCAAAGCTTTGCGAAGTCGATGTGCTCTAAACATGAAAAATAGATATCATATTTGTAGTATTTCTAAAATGACTCTATATTGAACCGAAAAATGATACCAATATATTCGCAGAAAAGGGATCCTTATCACTGAATTTACTTATTGCTTAACCAGAATCACAATCAAATATGATATGTACAACACTATCAACACTTTGATATGTATTATTTTGCATGTTGAAAAATAAGTTAGGAAACGGGATATTTCTTTATATACTTTAAAAATATTTATAATGATGTAAACTACGTTAAAATAATATTGAAATCAAGAAACGAAATACCCTTGAATTGATAATAATACTGACGAAGGAATAAGAGATATTTTTATTATTTTTTTAAATAAGCAACTGGTTAGTTGATAAAAAAAAGTGTAAAATGGACTTGTACAAACAACCAATTTCCGCCATTATACAAAGTGTACTCCCAAACCGGAACCGGAAAAGCAAATTTGAATCACTGACAAGCAGCGATTTAGATACTAATGCTATGGGCGGAATCAAACTCACTCCGAAATAAAAGCCTTGGAGCCCACCAACACGGATCCCACGGGGGCCGACAATCCCTTGCTGAGGCAGATGGAGACCGAGTCGAAGTCGCGGCAGATGCGCTCCACACCCACGCCCAAGGCGGCGGCGGCGTTGAAGACCCGAGCCCCATCCATGTGGAGGGCGATGCGAGCGGTACCGGTTCCCACGCCCGGCTGGCGGACCAGGGTGGCCAGCTCGTCCAGGAAGGCCAGCGGCACCACCTTGCCCCCGCAAATGTTGTGGGTCTGCTCCACCACCACCAGCGAGGTGATGGGCTCGTGGCAGTCGTCGTGTCGGATCCTGCGGCGCAACTCCTGGAGGCTGAAGGTGCCATCCTGTTCGTTCTTCAGTGTGGCTAATTGGACCCCGGCCAAATGCGAGGCGCCACCTAAACGTGATTAATGAAGACTCAGCGGTGTCGGTGGTTCGAAGTGCGGTTGCTTGCTGTTCTCACCTTGCTCGTACAGGAAGATGTGAGATAAATCGCCGACCAGGGCCTCAGTTCCACGACGATGGCAGTGAACCATAACTGGGGGGAATATCAAGGGAAACTTTAAGGACTTGACCTGGCAAGAGAGCAGGATAATCAAGGATTCAACCACAATTCATCCTAACCATTTGCACCTAACTTATAAAGCCAGTACCATCTGCTATATGATATTTTCTAAATAATAAATACAAATGTATTTACTATAGTCATAAAAAAATACTTCAAATGGATCTACTCATAAAGCAAATCAAAATCTACATGTTTCTAGAGGTTTCCGGTGGGTTTGATAAGGTAAAATCATTAAAACATTTCCATAAGTCCCATAAAAGTTTAACACCTGGTCTACTTAATTGATTTTCGATTATCTTTGAAGTGTACTTCAACTAGTTAAGATTATGGAATATCAATATCAATTGCCAAAGCATCACTCAAGGGTTTATTGCCTTACTTTTGGTTACAATTTCATCAGATCATAACTTATGAATAATTATTTAAAATGAATTTAATTACAATAAAAATCTTGATGCAGAATTCCTCCAATGAATTTCACCTTTTATAGCTGCATATTTAATGGGCAGCCCTCGTGAAAAATTAGCACAATCGTAAGTCTGAGTGCAGTTTCTTTTCAGAATGAAATGCAAACTTCAAATTCCATTAGAAATATTAATTTGAGCGAATGCATAAATTACTCGAGATTGCGATGCCCGAGGCGGTGGCTCCTTGGGCTTTCGTCCTTTATCCTGCTGTTTCTCAGGTCCCTTGCTTCCCTATGGCACACGTCCACGTCTAATATTAAAGTCTATAAAAATTAATGTTATGTTTATGGCTGCCCTTAGCCTTTACGATAATGTACCTGATGCATGATATGAGCCCTGCTTTCTTGTTTCTTTCACCTTTTTTAGGTTTCGGCCCCACCTTGGCTTTTGTGTAATCTGAGACTGGCCTCGGTTTAAACTAATAAACATAAGCGTTTCCCCACTACGGAAATCCACTAACTGAGAGACCGAAATGAGTCCTGGGTTTATTTACGAGCCCTAGCAGTTACCACTCACTTGCCAGTAGATTTCCCATGGTGCCGCTGGGCACAAAGAGGGCCGCCTCCTTGCCGAAAATGGCCGCTGTCCGCGCCTCCAGTTCGTTGACGGTGGGATCCTCGCCATATACGTCATCCCCAACGACGGCGGAGGCCATCCTGGCCCGCATCTTCTCCGTGGGCTGGCTCACGGTGTCCGAGCGCAGGTCAACAATGGAGTGGGTGGACATTTCCTGCAAGTTGATTAGCTCGGATATATGTATATTTGCATAGGGTGGGCTATGTTGATTTTCCTTCTTTGTAGCCAGCAAATCCCCAATGGAAATCGCGCACTCATTTACATTGAGACACGTCAGTTGCACTGCCTTAATAAATTGATATGGGCAATGGACGATGGGCGATAGGCGTCTTGGGACCTTACACCACATAAACAATCACTCGGAGACAACAGACATTGGAATGCGGTCCGCCCAGCGATTGCATAATCGACACATTATTTTTAACACTTGATCTCCCAGCTGAACTCTTATTTTCAATTTCATTTCAATAGACTTAATTCAATTTTCAAAAAAAAAAAAATAAAAATAATGTAAGTAAACAACCATTCATCTGGGAACTCACTTGGTCACTTGATTGATAAAGCCCAACGACAACAAAAATTACACAACGTGCTCGGTTCAGAGCCCACAGAAAACTGACCCCAACAGCTGCTGGGCAGCCGGCATTATAATTCTTTGTAGAGAGGCCTCCAGCAGTGCGAAATACCAGAGAGCGCTGATAATACTGTTCCCAATTGAGCAGCGATCGACGGAATTATCGGGAGAGCCAGAAGTACTCTCTTTAAGCACTGAGTTCCATTATGAAGACAATTCGATAACTTACTTTGCTGATCTGTAAAGACCTTAAATAAATCCGCAAACACTTTCATTTCTTTGGTACTTTTTTTATTAATTACATCTGAAATTTTCACTAAAATTTTACTAATTCTAACACAATTTTCTTGTTGTCTCTTCTTAGTTTTCACACTCTATTCACCTGTCTCTTGGCCAATTAATGCTCTCTATATCTCAACCACTCAAGGTACAATTGAAAAACGTTACAATAATAAAAACAAATGTAACTTAGCTATGTACTCAATAATAGTAATAATTAGTTGTTAACAGTAGTTTTTTTTCTCTTTCGTTTTGTTTCCCACATGATGAAGTACATGATTCTCGCTGGAACTGATTGGACTAACTAATAAGACGATCCTTGAATCGGATAAAGCTACGCCTGATATCGATCATAAAGTTAGGTCAACTTACAAACTAAACTTGCAACAACTTTTCTTGAGAATGGGCGGGGGAGTGGGGGGTTTAATTTGCATACGGGAAAAGTGTATGCACATAAAAGTCATAAAATGTATGAAAAAATTATAAATAAATATTTAGAAAATAGTTTCAATATTTTTTTAGTTTTCCTCTCAGTTTTAGTTCTTCTTGTTTATGTTTTATAGTCTTTTGAACAAGTTTCCTTCTGGCGCAGAACTCTGCATTAGTTTTTACTTTCTCGTTCAGGTTGTTTGCACACAGTGTCTTTGTTTACTTTTGGCACCCACTGTAAGCGTACGATAGTGCTTTCGGTAAGATTAGGGTGTGCGATTGGGTGGGAGGTACTCAATTTTCATTGCCAATCAATGCTTTTCCAGCTGCCCGACAAACAATCTAGGTGAAAGTATAAACATTAGAGTGAATTCATTTCCGTCCTCGGCTCCTGGCCTCCTACTCCTTATTTTTTTTGGTATGTGCAGACAGAGCGACAGGGATTCCTTCACTTAGGACGTTGATCTTTTTCAAAGACCGATTGCCACCAACATTAACGCTAATTATTTTGTTTTTTTTTCAGTTTCAACACACAGGACACGCGACTAACAGCTAGGGGGTTTAAGCTAATGCTCTAGGATGATTTGTGGGTTCACTCGGGGCGGGCTGCCACCTCATCGCTACGAGGAGACGTCCGTCTCGGATCCGTCCACCTCGCCCGGTGGATTTCGCTTTATGCAGTCCCGTATGCTTTGCAGGATGATGCCGGTCCGCCGGTCCAGGGCCTCCAGGTGCGGTTGCCAGAGCACCGGACTCACGGGATCCTGGCTCAGGGACTCGCTCATCAGCTGTGACAGCGGCTTGGGCCCATTGTGGAACCTGCAGGAGAGTTTACAGGAATTTTCATTTAATTTTAGGTATTAACAGGCGTTTGTAGTTATTGTTTTTAATGAGTAGAATGTATATTTTTATCAAGAATTTGCCCTCCCAAGTAATATTAATTAAAATGCCTCATGTATTAAATGTTTGCGTGGAGAAATTGATGCCTGTTTCAATGTTTGATTATTATAATTAATCATTCAAGGTAATTATGTAGTCATTCCCAAATATTTAATTAAAATGAAAGAAATTAATATCTGCTTTATTTCAACGCAGCCTTACTGATACTTTCATTAAAGGATACAAATAGAAATATATGCATTCAAATATATAAAACTCTGTTTAAATTCAAAACTATGCAAAATAACATTTATTAATAGACTTAAATTACACTGTTCCTAGACTTCCTGTGTAACCCTTTAATAATATATTTAACTCCAATCAAATAAAGATGATTACGGGCTACTAATAAGAAATATCTGCAGATGCCAAGCTCAGTTGCAAATCTTAACTAAACTCATCTACGTTTACTTGTAGAAATAAATTTAACTGTTATTAAACACCGTCTTGAACCATTTAAGATCTTAAAGAGGTCCTACATTTTCCATTTTATTTAAGGCAATTCAAAGTCATCCTGATGGAATTATACGTATATATAAAGGCAATATACTCACTCTAGCAGCTTGACAAGCGTCGACTTGCGTATCAGGCAGCACTGCAGAACGGGCGCCAAAATGGAGAGCTCGTCGTGGAAGGGCCGCCCGAAGCCACGGCCGTGGTCCAAATGCAGGGGGAACGTCTCATTGCCGTAGACCCTGGAATGCAAACGAAAAGCCGGGCCAAATTAGAGTGAATTCGGCAATCAGCCAGGCCAAGACCTGCTGCTCCCCTTCCCCTTACTGGCGGGATTGGCGCGGCATAATTGCCTGGCAAAAGTGGGTGGCTGGCCAGGGAAAGTCTGGAGTGTACTACACCCACTATATCGGGCAGGTGTTTGCCAGGGTGCCAGCGATGACATCGCCGTAAGCCCAACAAACGCTTTTGCATAACAAACAATTTAGCAGCAGCCCAGCCAAGTCACCTGGCACCTGGTCTTGGTCTCCACACCCGGCATCGATGATGTGGAGTGGCGGAGATGTTTTGCAACCTTTCGCAGGCGGTTTGGAAATATCTTTCCAGCTGCTGCATCTGCCTCATCGGCGGCTCTTGGGGCTGACTGGGCTGCCTGGGCTGCCTGGGCTGCTTGGCATTCAGGTGCTGGCATATCCCTGGCAAATGCAGGCGCTTAGGCGCACACGGGGCGCATACGTAACGTGCCAAAGGCAGACCGAGTGGGATGCGGAGAATACGGCGGCAGGAAGCCAACAAAGCCATGTGTGCGGAAATAAACCGATCGCATTAGTTACCATGCCAAGGACCCAGATACACGGCATACACAGACATATGTATAGACACCCACCCCACCCACATCCGGCTTAAACCCACAGAGTGCCCACCCAATACTCACTTGAATGTCTCGTAATGATGGCGATCCATGTTGCCGGTGAGAAAATCAAAGACGGCCATGTCCATGAGGTCATACAGCCGCCTGCCGTCGTCGTAGGGCGGAATATCCCGGACCTAAGTGGGCGTGGCATGGTTAAAAAGGGAAAATCAAATGCAAAATTAAGCTGCAGCTCTCGGCCAGCGATGTCTTAATTAAGTCAGCTACAGCTTCCCCCTCCCCCGCTACGACCACAATAAAAACATTTGCATTTCAATCGAGTTTAAATGCAAATTAAATAAAAGAAACCGCAGCTGGAGAGGGCGAGGGTGAGGGATGCCTTGGAGGATACATACCAGGGCACAATAATTGGCATCTGTCTCCCATTGGGCCTTCTTCCTTTTGTGGTAGGAGCGTCGCCAGGGATGCCGCCACAGCTGTTGGGAAAAAGAGCAGAGGGGGACCGGAAATCAATTCGCATTCTTGCAGGCTAAAAGCAAGCGGCTAGCAGAATTGCCTGTCTTAGCGGCTGGCATTCGGTTGTATATTTACTCTCAGGAATAAGGCTTAAATAAATATCTAATATTAAATAACTATACCCCCTTGATAGGATATGATGATCAAAAAGATTCCTTTTTAAAGTACATTAAACAAAATTTTTCCAATTTGCCAGACAATAAAGAAAGAATATAATAATCATAGTCCTAATATTCAATGACCCTAACAGATGATACTAATAGATCCCTTATTAGTATTAGTTTTGTAAGGAATAAGATGTTAGACCAATCATATAAATAGGAAAAATTTTAATATATATCATACCGGAAAATAATAGATGTTCTTCATTTGGATAGCCCTTATGTATTTTATATAACTCTAGCACTTTTAAAACTTCCTCTTAAATCCCATAAATTTCTTAAACACCACCAAACATCACCACTTCCATCAAAATCCCTTTCTCTTGATTCCAGCACCTCACTCTAATTTTTCCCCAGTGTAATAATATTAATTTTGCTTTATGGCTGCTCTCTCTTTCCGACTTTCTTGCGAATTCTTCCAACTGCAGGCCAAATTAATTTTGCTTAAATTAAATTATTTGCCCAGCGCTCTCCAAGGCGGGCAATAAAACTTTTGCGCGAACCCCGGCGCTTTCCATTTTTTTTTTCCGACCTCGCCACCGCAACTTACCTTCCGTCCCTGGGTTGCGGGGTCAGGGGGTCAACAATAGCGACAACAACAAGAACAACGAGAACGGGATCAGAAACAGGAACAGGAACGGGAACGGCAAACGGGAGCGGTAGCGGTAGCAGCAACACAAAAAAAAATATATATGAAATACTATATATATAAAAGAATTAAAAATAAGGGGGGACAGCGCACAAAAATGCATAATAAAAGCTCGGCGCGTTGGGCGTTTTGTGCTGAGTGGGCGTGGCGTCGTCGGAGGCGGAGTGTGTAATGACCGGAAGCAGGGGCGGTGGGTCCAAAGGGGGTTTTCCCGGCTGGTGGGGGGGGGGGGGGGGTTGGTTAACCGTCCGAAGAATGCAGCAGGCGGTGCAAAGCAAAGCAAGGCAAACAGAAAGCGGAAAATGCAAACTGGGGGAAAAGCAACTAACTACTACTACGAGAAAAAAAAATATGAAAGAAGCAAACATAAAGCAGAAAACTCAGGTAAGTTAACGCTGCCATGGTGACAGAGGGGGCAAGTCGGGGGTTCTCATAGCGCTCTTTAGCCCCACTGTTCACCTTAGCTTAGCCGAAAAAAAAATATGCATAAATCAAGCAAAATTAAATTTTATAAGAGCAGCGGGAAATGCAAAACGGGGCAAAAAAGATAGAATGTGAGGCAAGCAATTTGCAATTTTTGTTAGCTGCGCGTTAAATGGACTTGATAAATTCGCGGAACGCAATGAAGAAGCTTTAAGATGCAATGACTTTCATGAAAATGACCCCTTTAGTCAGCGATAATAACAAAATTCAGTACTCCCAGTATTATTTAAATCGCACAGTACAATTTTTAGGTAATAAATTACTAGTAATTAAAGAAATTAAAATGATACTATGTCAAATATGTTTTTTATGTTAGTATGGAATGACCTTTAGAGTAAACAATACGTGCACATTTAAAATTTGGATTATGTTATGATCAAGAAACATTTCTCTAGATGCCTTAAAGTATGCAACATTATATTTTATTAAGAAATTTAAATAAATAAATATTCCCAAATAAAATCTTTCAAGTTTAATAACCCATTTCAACGATTTAAATCTATTAAACACACAATTTAGTTGAAAAATCTCTCTTAAATCCCAGTACAAATTATAAAATTCCACTTTATCCCCGCTTAATCTAATCAATTGTTTAGTTATCATGATTACTCTCCCCTTTTCATTTCAGTCGTTGCAATTTAGTTGCCCATAGAAGCCCCTTAACTGAATTCCCAAAGCATTTAACAAGCGTGCAAATCAAATTTGCAACTTAATTAAAATTCTGTTCAGTTACAAAAAATTTGCTCGTTGTTTACAGCACTGGGGAAAACAAAACTTAGTCAGGCCGGAAAAGGAAAAGGAAAGTAAGGAAACCTGAACGGCAAAAAGCGGGGGGTTATCCCGGAAAAAGGGGGGGAAAAGGCAAGGGAGAAAGAAAAATGATCTCTTGTGCATAATTTACAGTTTTGCCTTACGCCAAATCTCAAGTATACACTTAACCATTTTCTACTTGTAAACTGTTTGGAGAGCGAGCCGCAAAAAAGAAAGGGGGCAAATAAAGAGAATTATTCCTTTGAGGCTTCGGGGCAGGGATACTAAAAAAAATATATATATTTCTATGTATAAAATAGACTAAAAATAAAATGCCTCTGCTGCGGCAAATCTGAGGGATGAGGGATGAGTGGGCTGAACCCTTTTTATGGCCACACAGCTAGCCAACTGAGACAGTCCTAAAGTCCTGAAGTGGACAGGACTGGGCTTTAATTTTTCGGTAATTTGCATTTAAAAGCTGTTGCCGTTGTCCCTTTTTTACCCCCTGTTTTCGTGTTTTCATCATTTTTTCGCCCCCTTCCCACCAACCAGAGCCTGTGTTTTTTCGGTTGATGGAGTGGACTCTAGAATTTATTAACGCCAACGACTGAGCCCCGGGTTTCCTGCATTTTATATTCCATTTTACGCTTTACCAGCCGCTGAAGAACTGATACAATATTTCTGCTCTTAATTCAACGGCCAAGCGAATGAATGAAATGGCAATGGGAATGGGAATGGGATTGGAGTGGAGTGGAGGGTGAAAGGTAAACGAGCCCGTGGCACAAACAAAGGATAAAAGGCATACGAACAACAGAAATTATGCAAATTAAAAGTGAGTTCTTTTCGCTTTTTGGGCCAGGCTAGCCATCGCTAGAGCCATTTAAAATTCCCTCTAAGCCCTAAGTGAGTTGTTCGGGGGCCCATGTAATTCCAAGAACTGACCATATCTCACCTGTTGCGAACCACACACACACACCCACAGCTTACAATCTAAGGACTACAGACTAAAGACTACAGACTACCGACTACAGACTAAGTAAATAAAGTGATTTGTTATTTGGCCCGGCCAGGCGCACGAAATTGGTAATGAAAGCGGGCGGAGCATAAATTGTAATCTGGCGCAGTGTTGAAGCTGGCCGTGCATTAATCAAAAACCACTTAGCCAGGCCCACAGACAAGATACCCAAATACCCATACCCATATACCCAAACCCATGCGTGCTCTTAAATGCTGGATGTTGGATGAAGTGTCTGCAGGACCTGGGATGGAGATGCCTCTCGAATACATACCTTGCGATTGCCCGACTCAAAGTTGGGCAGAAAGGCGGCGAAGGAGCCCTCCAGCATGTCCGGGTTGCCGCAAATGGCATGCGAGGTGTCACAATAGTACGAGCACTTGCCATGGAAGCATAAATTCAGCGATGGCGAAACAAAGAACGTCTTCAATAAATTCTCCTCGGCCAGTTGATAAATTTCGGTCGTAATGTTCAGTGTTCGGCCGGCCACGGGCATGGCACGCCGGAATCCCAGGATCCTGAAAAGGGAGAGAGGTGCAGAAAAGCGGTTAACAAAATGCCAAAAAGAAATCGAGGGGAGAATCTGTGGGAGAGGTAGCCGACTATTTGATTTCCTGTTAAAAAGTTAAGAAAATATAATGACCATTTTCTCAATGTCAGGTTAAAATTAACTTACGGTTGATATATATTTGAAAACATTCAGTTTCTCAGTATCATGTTAGTGATTATCTGGCGGAAAACTCTAAGCTAGTGGGTCATATGCTTTAAAAAAAAGTGCCTAAACAATTTAACCTTATGATAACCTTTCCTAAGAGATAGCAATGTAAACCCTTAACCCGACATTGAGAAATTGGTTATAAATAGATTTTTTACTATGCAAACCTTCCTAATAAATCCAGAATACAACATACCCCAAGTGCCCCTCCTGGTACCCCGTATAAACAGAAACATCCTACGAAATAACAGCCTGCGCGAAATAAACTTTTCCTTAATGGTTCGGGAAGGCAATGGAAAAAGACTGCGTGCGAAGCGGAATGCGTGGTCAAAAATAAGAAAAATATTTGTGGACTGTTGTCAGGGTGACGATAAGGAATAATACAATAAGGAAAATAATTCCATGTTTATTTAAGGAAACCCAACCGAACAACAATTGAGCTAATTGAGTGAAACCCAATCCCGACTGCCGTCTCGTCTCGTCTCTCTCTTGCTTTATTTTCATCAATCAAATGGCGAAGGCGAAGTAAAAGATAGATACCAAATCAAATCAATGAATGAAATTTTCAGCAATCTTTCTGGCGAGTCACGGTTAATCTCTTCTCGGATTTGAAAGGGTTCACGTGAGATTTATGGTCGAGAATGTATGGCGGCGTCGGTGGACTGACCAGAAAATATTATCGAAATTATTTGGCAACATGAAGCATGTTCCATTGTCTGGGGGTCCTTGGCAGCCTGAGGTCAGTGGGAAAATGCCGTAAATTTCCATCACCCAGCCAGAGCCACTCCATCACACACTCCGACCACTCCATTAGATGGCTGACAGCCCAAGTTTGCCCTGGCAGTCCTCCGGAGTTTTGGCCAGCAAATCGACAGGAGAGTTGGCCAACTCGATGTGGGGGCAGAATGGGATGTGGATGTGCAACATGTGCGTGCGTTTGGCAGCCACAACAATTACACAAGTTATGACGCCTTATCTAAATTCAAAAATCCCCCGGCAATTAACCTGGCCATCAAAGTTTTGTCAAAGGCTAGCAGCAGCTGCTTGCCAACTATGCAGACAATTCCAGTCTAAATTACGGCTGGACATGTCAGGCCACTTGGCCGAGTTAATTAGCCATGAAAGGGCGCAGATAGCAGTTGGCCATGGGTCATGTGGCCACATCATTTACATGAGCGTTTTGCCTTTTGAAAAATATATTCTTAAACATCATTAAATGGCGCCATTTGACCTTGGCCTCCCTTCGAACGGCTGACTGTATGGACATTTTTTATTTTATTTGCCCCGACCATCATAAATAATGAACATAAATTGACTGCGGTCTGACCCCAATATGTGTGTGTGAGTCAGGATTATTGGGATTCTAATCGCAGAGGGTCAGGCATCCCATCCAAAGTGTTATAAATTTGAATGCCGAATGTTGGCCAAGGGACCGGTTCACATGGCGGACAAATTGGTTAATTTGATTGCTTTGTCATGCACTAAAAAAGCGAATAACTTTCAAGGGGCCATAAATGTGAAATGTGGTAGCGAAAATAAATTGAACGTTGCGACCGGGAAGTGTAACCATTATCGGAAAAAGGAATACTCAATGTAAGTAAGCAGTATTATAAATATTTATACCCTTTCAAATTTAGTTCAATAAAACTAAGCACTTGGCTTTTTATGAGGAAGTCTTAAAAATAAAAAGGGTAGAACTGAAAATGTTCCCAAATAAAAATGTCTAAAGAACTAGGCTCCGACTTTTCTTACAAGTCATTAGGGGTTACTCAAGGTAAAATCAGATATTAACTTAAGCCTACACTTCACTAAGAATATGAGGTAAAAATTTGAATGCTAGAGCTTAACTATTTTGAGATCTGCATAGATTCTTAAAATATAAGATTTCATTTAATAACTTACGGTTTTAAAATAGCTTGAAGCAAAGAAGGATCATTTTAAACTTATCAATGCTTCCAAATAGCTCAGTTAAACTATTAATAGTGATGATAAAAACGTTAACCATTATCTTGATTAGATAGCAACAAGGGTATTCCATAATTGAATTCCAGAAAAGACTTCCCTGCTTGTTTCAAATTAAAATCAGGCTATGTCCAGCCATTCCAGAGTGCAGTCTGGTTTGCCTAATTGAATATTTCAAATTGATTTTGCACAATATTTCCCTGATTTCCCTGCCTTTGTGTTGCGGTAGCACAATCCATTCAGCGCTCACCATAAATATTTACGTATAATTGAAAATTAAATTAAAAATAAATAAGAGTATGCCAGGCATTTACATGACGTTGCCGGGGCAGATTTAATTCGATCGAACGATTTCGCAACGGAATTCTTGTGCACTCGAATGCCCCCGCTGGATGGAAGGTAAAGGAAATTCAGAGGTGGGGAAAACCGGAAGTTGGGAAAGTAGTTACTACTCACCTGTCCAGGTGGAAGGCGGCAATCTCGGCGTTGTGGCGCTCGTAGTCCGTGAAGTAGAAATGGTTGGGCAGCGTTTGCTGCTCCCGCGGAAACCTGTGGAAATGCAAATGAGAGTCCAGGATCAGAGGTGTGAGGATGCGGCATAATGAAATGAATAGAAGCTGCGGGCTTCTATCACCGGCTTAATGCATTTGCGTGGGGGCCACTTTGAGTTTTCCCACGGTGGACCTGCATCGGTGCTACATTCGTGCTACGTGCCAGCTTAATTACTTACACGAAAGGGAGTGCTATTTAAAAAAAAAATACACATATATTTATTTAAAAAACAAAAAAAAAAAACGCTTTCATTTAAATTGCAAATGAATGGCATTATAAGGACACTTTGCACTTTGGCAGCTGCTGGGGCCAAAGGAATGGAAAATGGCAATGGGAATGGGAAAACCAGCACGTTGACCAAGCCAACGCGTTTAAATCTCATTAAAAAGTGCATGAATGTTTTAAATTTGCCAGCAGCTTCAAGTGCCACCGCAAAACGACGGCAATGGACGTGGAATTTTCATCGACAGGCCGCAGGAAAGTCAGCGAATAAAAAGCGCAATTTTATTTACTCGGCTGCGCGAAAAGTGTTGTCGACAAGTGGGCGAAAGTTGCATTCATTACGCAAAAAAAATCCGAAGGCGGGCGGAAAATCGTAGGGACAAATGCATTAAGCGGCGACAGACCGGGAAATCTTCGCCCATCCATCCATCCATCCGTTGGCCAAACTTACCGCATCGGCTTCATTAAGGCCTTGATATCGTTTGGGTACTCGATGATCAATTTCAGCTGGGTGCCGCCTTCCTTTTGCACTGCGAACGAGGAGAAATGAATGTAAATTAATCAAGCACTCGCAAATTAATTGAAGCAAAAACCGAAATTCATGCAATTCTCACTTCACCGATCACCGTCTGCTTCTGCAGTAGGCTTTTTCAAAAATATGCAGCCCATTTCGGACTGCATAAACAAATTACACTCGACTAAATACCAATTAAAATGCGTTCAAAAAGCACACAAATATTGCGTATACGCAACCACACAAAGGAACCCCAAATGAAAGCCGCCTTGGCCCGTTTGCCACTCTGTCTGTGTGTGAAGTGAACCGAATAGTTTGATCTCTGCAGCCATGTTTCTGACCGACCATAAGGGGAAATTACATGCATAAAACCAAAAACTCCTGCCGCACTCGGACCGCATTTTATGAGAATTTATTCCAAAACAAACAAATGAAAATGGGCCCCTTTATTCTCGCATTATGAATTATGTCTTAAAAGTTGCTCTAAAACCAAAAGTCCTGCGTGTTTTGCCTGCACCAGAAAGCGCCTGTGTACGCGGCGTATACGTGATAAATGCCAGGCAGCACAAAGCCAAAGTTGCAGCAATTATGCTGCCACAGTGTCATTGTTGCACTCTGTCCCCCCCTCCCTGGTTTTTCCCTTAACTGCAAATGAGTTTTCTTTTCGCAGCTCCGAGCTGCCGCTGTTAAAAGTTTATTATTAATAAATTATGAGTTTAATGAATGCGCTGGAAAAACTTTGCTATGAAAATAGTTTCGCAGCGGCACCTCAATAATGCCAGCCGCCAAGCTCTACATAATTGAGTTAAATGTGCAGCTGAGTCTTTGCAACCCCCCACACCCCAAAAGGTCGGTGGCAACAAACTTGGCCGGTATTTATGACTTTACAATCCCCACAATCGCAGAACGGTGAAATGGGCGAACGGAACGGAAGCAGACTGTCTTACCAACATGCTGTATTGGCAGCTTGATCATGTCACGTAGCACCGCATCCACCAGAGTGTCCTGCTCGCCGTACAGCTCCTTCTTCGTGATGCGCAATTGGAAGCGCTCCAAATTGCTGGCATTTGCACTGCAAAGGGATGGTGGTAGACTGGGTTTAGATAGAGTCGGGCAAAAGGGAAACAAAATGATAGAAATGTAAGTAAAAATCGAGCGGAGCAGCCAAGAGCCAGCTGTCGTTTGCAGGCAAAGGAAGCCATAAGGACAATCAGGCTCAAGTTTTTACACTCGAAAGAAAAATTATTTAGAAATCGGACTAAATTAATAGGGCCTATTTTAACTGCCTAACAAAATATATAAGCTTTCTGGACTTGTCTTAAAAGGATTAAGGCCTTATGACACTGGCTTACGTTGAACTTACAGACTGGATTTATTTTAAAAGGTCTTGGCATCCTTTATTATATCTAAGAGTTTGTATAATTATATTAAATTAAACATATAAATGTGTAAAACATTGGCATAGTTATTTAAAACAAATGCATTAAGTTGGTCAAGATTTAAGCTAGTGTCATATGGCCACAAGCAAGAAACCTTGCAATCATAAAGAATACATTCAATGGAAGTGTCCTAAAAAATATCGGTGGAACCTATTTAAGTATTTTTTTGACTTGCTAAATGATATAGTACTTAGCTCCCTTCAAAATTATAAATTACTTGTTGAGAATTTTTAAGAAACCTTGCAAACTTCAGGAAACTTTTAACAAACAAGTATTAAACAAATTGCAATATTGAAATATTAAAGATATATCTTTCAAAATAGATATATCTGTCAATATTTCTTTTTTTTCAATAGAAATACTAATAATTTTATTCTAAAATATTGAAAAGTATATAAAGGTTTTTATAACACTCCATATTTCCCCCGGTGCAGTCAGTTCTCGGGGCTCCCTCATAAGTATGCCATGCTTTCGGGCTGCATATCAAGATTTCTCACATTGATTTGTCAAAGCAATGCCCTGCTCCTTTGCCTTTCTTTGCCGCTGCTGTCATGACAATTTGGTTTGCAAATGCCAAGACACCCCCACATCAGCCAGCCGTAATCTTTGGTGGTCGATTTTTCCTGTTGCTGGTATGGATGGTATGGTATAGCATGGTATGGCATGGCATGGTATGGTACGTCGGTACTGGCAATTGTCGGAAAATATCTTTTCCTTACCGATTATGCCTTCCACTCTTCCATGTCTTTTGACATGTGCCGCTCACATGGCGAATGCTTTTGTCTTAAGCTCTTGCAGCTACGCTTTCAGATTTAGTCCAATTTGTGCTGGTTAAGCACTAAGAGCCCTGCCAGAATTCAGAATTTAAGCTGCAAAGTGCTCTGCCACGGCATTAGCTTTCCCGTTGCAATATTGCATGGTGCACAATGCACAACAATTTATACCAGCAGTCAGCAGTCACAGTGACGACAAATTGAAATGCAAAACCCTGTACTCTCCACTCGGTGCTCGTTGCTCGGTTGGTCAGTGAAAAGTGAGGAATGAGCTGCGATGTCAGCTCCATTGTGCAGCAAGTTTATCACGATAATGAAGTCATATCCGTTGCTCCACCAAATGCTGCTCTCAATGGCGTCTACATAACTCATTGTCCTTGTACTTCGTCTTACACTTTCACCACCCACCATTCACCATTCCTTCTGGCACACTCATAATTTGCCCGTCGACTTCTGTTATACTTCAACGCCTAACCCTTTTTGTGCCGTTGGTCTTTGTCCGCCGGAAGGAAACAAATGTCTGGCAGACAACCTTCTCGTGCCCCGAATGACTTTCAATATATCAGCGTTTTATGGAAATGGTGACAACTTCCCGACGACCAAAGAGCTCAGAGGCTCTCCACCTCCACCTTCTTCACCTGGTGGCGCAAAAGTGCTCACAATCCGGTGACAATGACCAGGATTCGCAGGCCAAAGAAGGGTTAAGAGAAATGACGACGGTTCTATGGGGGCTCAGGTTCAGGGAAAAAAGCTACATCAAGAATCCAAGGCAGGCTTAAGGCCGCAGGATTAAAGTCCAACCAAAGGTCTGAAAAATGTAATATAATTGCTTTTGAATACCCAACTGCCCCTGTCATCTGTCTGGCAAAAAGGGTATATTTCCTGGTGATGGCGTTTAAATGAAAATCTACTAAAAAATAGCTTGTTCATAAAAACCAAAGCATTAGAAACGCGTATTTAAGGCAAATAATAAAAGGTCGTTTTTTAAAACACAGTAAGTACACAGTTAAAAAACTTTTTAAGATGAAATTTGTTTTAAGATATGTTCCTGATGTTCCCTAAATATCTTTTGACAGTGTGCTGCGAAGTATGCTAAGGACCGTGTTAGCTTGGCCCAGTCCAATTTTAGCTCAGGCTTCATTTGTCAACTGTGGTGAAGCTGCACCCCCGCCAAGGAGGAGTAGACGTAGACCATTGGAATCCAGGGCAGGAGCTGCGTAATTGATGAAGCCTCCCAATTTGGACACTGACTAAGCACTGGCCGCCGTCCGCAGAGTGGCCATATGTTGTGTGAGTCTGCGGCTTGGCCGAAACGGCCAGCTGTTGCACTTTTTGGGCCAGAAACAATGAAACACTGAAACAAAAGAAAAGTGCCAGCAGAAGCGAATTCAAATCCCCTTTGGTAATTGAGTCACGTAAATCAGTTGCAGCGGCAGGCAGTCAACAAAACGCAAAATCGCATTACAAGAGAAAGTGAAAAGGGTGTGGGTCAAAGGGAGAGGGGGGCCGTGGTGCTGGCTGGTAGGGAAAAGCACGCCAAAAGCGCACGTGACACGTGGCCCACAAGCACATACACTCGAACAAACGCTGACAACCGCAGCTACAGTGGGCCCCCCCTAAAAGGCCCTACCCTTCTTGAACCCACCTCCCATAAGTCCCCCCTTTTTAAAACCTCCCAGCCCCTTTTCACTGGTCTAAGCCCGCGCAAAACTTTGTTATGCAAAGCGTTGACAGCTCAACAACGATGACAACAACGTACCGCAGCGCAAAAACAGAAACGCTGCGAAAAAAAAAATAATTGAAAAAGAGATTTTCATATAATTGGTAGTACCCCCCGTGCCCCCCTTTGGGACAGTTGCACGTTCCTGGCGGTTACTTGCGTCAAAAGTTTACTTTGAGTTATGTTTAGCGGAAATTAAATTTATTTATGTCAGCGGCGGCGGCGGCGACGGACGGCGAGCTCCGCGCTGAATGACGCTCACTAATCAGCTTAATTGCGCTCGGTTTGACGATTTGACGGGGCTGACGGAATCCGGAGTGCCGAGGATCCTGAGAATCCCGCAGTCCTGCAGCACAAGTCCTGCGGAAAGCCGCTGCCATGGCAATGGCCAGGAATAAACTTTGCTCACAGCTGAAAATTATTTCGCGGACTTTGGCCAAAGATAAAAGTGAAAAGCGCTGAAAAGATACTTTAAGCCAGATTTTTGGTTACCGAAAACTATATTACAGCTACACCATCAAGATTATGAGTATTAATTAGTGAAGGGTTCGCTCGACCTCCAAAAATAATGTAAGCACATTATTACATTATTTTGACAGACAGTTTTATATAAATTTTACCACCTTAACCCCTTAAGTTTGGCTACAGATAAAAGTGAACAGAGATGAAAAGATACTTTAAGCCAGACTTGGGGCATATTATAAACTGTTTTTAAGTACTTAAACCAGGAAATATCTAAAACTGGTGTTACCATAAATGAATGACCTAAAATTGGGGATAAAATTGTTCTGCCCTTAAAATTGTACAAAAAATTTTCTAACATTTTATTATAAATATCCTTTGTTTAAATTGTAGGTCACTTTTCTGAAGATTCTTAGGTAATAGTTCTCAAGTTTTGGTTTTTATTTTGTTATCTTAGTGTAGCACTCCTTATAAATTATGTTAATTAACTAGTTATTAAAAAATTTCCAAGATAAGAAACCTGTTCGATATCATCTTCACCCTTTAACTTTCTTCTTTCCCGATAAGATCTACTAATTAATATAATATTAAATTTCGTTTGCCACAGGATTGAAGCTTTGCCCACAGAAATCTGCACTTCTGGGGGAAACTTTCCAACCGGGATTATGAGTGGCCGAGTGACTGGCTTTCACTTGTTGTTCCCGCCGCTCATTTTTGTTGTTCCTGGCTGGATGGCTGGGTGTTATCCGCGGTGTTATAGCGCCGCAACCGGCGAAGTGGGTACTATAATAACAGCTGTCAGCCGGCATGTCCTGGCCTTTGCTTAAGACCCACCAGGACTCCAAGCCACCTAGCCAACGAACCAAACCCCCTGCCCACCCATTCTGCAATTATTTCGCCATAAGAAAATGTCAGTAAAGTTTTCCCGTTTTCCCCGAGCAGCTGCGTCCACAGAGCCGCAGCCACAGAGCCGCAAAAGTGCTGCTTAGATGGAGAGGAGCAAAAAGTTTGTGCGTGTGAAATTTTGCGGCCGCCAGGACCAACGAGGAACCATCGAAATGGACGGAGTTGGGACTGCAGTCCGGACACTTTTGAGCCCAGTTTGCTGAGAGGAGGAGGAGATGGAGCCCGGCATCCCGGGCAAAAAGGAAAGTGAAATTAAACTTATATTGTAGCCGGGGATAAAACTTCAGCTTCAGCGGCAAGAGCGCGAACATTAAAACCAATGACAGCAGACCAACTGCAGCTGGGATCCGCGGGAAAAGCGGGGGAAAAGGCTGATGGGGCGGGTCGGAAAACTTCCACATCTTCCACATCTTCCACTACCACTTCGCTATCCGAAATGTCAGCAAGCTCTACGAGTTTTACACACTCTCGTCGACATTGAGCATAGTCTTTTATTACCCGGCGTTCGCAGGATTCCAGCTCAGGACTCGCATCCTGACCGACAGCTGGTAAAACTTCAGATGTTTCTTCCTTTTTAGCCGGGTGTAATTCGCTCTCGAAATAAGATTTCTGTCACCGCTCGTTGCCCGTTGCTGGGGTCGCAATTGCAGGCTAATTAAAAATTTGTCATACTAATTAAACGCAAGCCGCGCGCTGAGGACACTGTCACGACCCCAGGATTTGGGAACTACGAACTAGGAACTAGGAACTTGGCGAAAATGTAGCTGAATCAGCGGCAACTTTGCCGTAATTATATACCCAACTAATGCCGGACAGGCTTTTGTGGTCGCTAGTTTGGCGTGTACCTGACTCTTCAGCAGCTGCTGGTAATAACTCATCTAGTAATTTTAGGCGCATTTGCATTTTGTCACATTTTTTTCACCTGCAGCTAGTCTTTTCTTTCTCCATCCTGCATTGTTACCCGAGCTGTGGGCCAAAAAGTGCTGACTAAGCCTCTGGCTAAAAGGGGGGGCAGATGTTGGCTGGAAGATAAGGGTGTGGAGCACGTGGAGCATGTGGGGAGCTCGGCGACAGAATTTTAATGAGATATCGCCGGGAACGAGCGACAGGCGACAGCAGGAGTGGAATCGGAACCAGGAGGAGATTGGGATGGAGCCACGGCAGCTGGGCTACGCCTTGATCCTGTTTCAGCCAACTCAGATCTATCTTTCTACCTTTTTGGGTTGATTAGTTGTAAAAGGATACGCTATAAGGATGTGGGAGTAATCTTTTATCTTAAAATGTTTTAAACAAAAGATAATGCTTGGTTTTATTGGTTTTCATAAGATTGAACAAGATTTTGTGTTCCAATTTGTAGGCTTATTCAAATAACAACAACATAGAGTTTCAAATTGAAACTTTCAATGGTTTCTTAACCACATTATTAACATAAAAACCTGATTTAATACTATATCATAAAATAACGGAAAATATACTTTAAACATTAAAGAAACTTTCTTTGTCTTAAATGTACTTTAAAAACAACAAACTATGTTGACCTACTTTTCTGTGTACATTTTTTGAAACAAACTTTATGCAGCCAAAACTCAGAGCATCTAAAAACTAAGTATCGTCATACAAGTAGTACTTATCAAATAATCTTCAAACAAATAACGGCTATAAAATTTGCACTTCAGCTGCAAGAGCATCCCAACTTCTTGTGTCGGCTAACCAGGTAAACCTAAACCCTAAGCCACCTTTTTTCTCCTCTGCACATATACTGCCAGCAATTTCGCTTGTTAATGAAATTTGCATTTTGCTACGTGCGACACACCAAAATAGAAAAAAAAGTAGCAAACTTTCCGGCTTGCTTTTCGGTGATGTGCTATAAATTAGAAAATCAAGCATTTTATGCTAATGCCGACGCCCACACTTAGCCAACTCAGACTGAGACTCAGACAACACCCACCCAGCGCTAGCAAAACAAGAACAGCAACAGCAGCAACAACAACTTGAGTTTGACAAGTTTTTGCCACTTTGCATTTTAGCCATTTTCGATTTTCCCCACTTTTCCGCCACTACTCCCCCAATTTTTGTGCAACTTCAGCTGGGGCAATGTTCGGCAACTATTCAAGCAAATGAAATTACTCATACGCTACGTATTCAATTTTGATAAAGACTGCCAAAACGATTCGGCAAACGCATTGTAAAAGCAAAGGGAAAAGTGCGGAAGATGGAGAAAACTAAGCTGATTACCGAGAAAGAAAATCAAATGAAAACTCGTTGAAATAAATTTCATTGCTGTCTCGAAAGGGGAAAAGCGGAAACACCCAAGGAGGAAATCGAGGAAGAGATTCCGCCGGCGGTGACGCAGATACGCTGCAAATCCACATTGATTTCTTTATTGCACTTTTATTTGATTGTGCTCGCATGAAATTACGCATACGCCATGTTGAGACAAGGCAAACGCTCATCAACGTTATCGGCGGTCGGCATCCGGGAAGATGGAGCCGAACAGTTGCCACCGGCAACAACAATCAGGCAACACTTACCAGCGACAGATAGAGACATGCCCGTAAAGATGTGGGCATAGAGCGATTTCTGGGGGCCTACACTTAAAGAAATAACTAGTTCCTACAGTTTAAAAGTTGCTACCAATCTGGATGGGGATTTCACAAGGGGTATAGTATTATTAAAACAAAATATTTTTTAGTAAATTAAAATGATGGCTAAGTTGATACATTAAAATTTACTTTAAAAACCAGTTACCATGTGTTAAGGAAATATATTTTTTGGGCTTCGTTTCTTATGAACTAACATGTCAATATATTTTGCATTCTTCTCCTAATAATGTGTTTCTTAACACAAAACTTTAAAATATATTTATTTTATAAATAATTGCTTACCAACAATATATAATATTTAATCTATTTATGTTACTAGTTTGGGTAAAAGCAAAATTACTTAAAAATCCTTTCACATGTTTTCTAAAAGACTTTTTTACAGGCCTAATATACGACTATTTTTATGTATATTATTATATATCATGTATACTTCTCATATTTTGAAGAAAATATTTTTCTGCATCCAAAGGAGATTCTAAATCCAATTATAAATCAAAAGCAAATCTTTTTCTCAACTGTAAAGACTAAATGTCTAAAACGTAAATGTGTCACGTAAATGGAGCGTAAATTTCAATAAAAATCATTTCAATTCCGTTGAAGCCCGAAAAGTGCCGTAACTGCTTGCCGGTCTCCTCTCGTTTTACTATGCTTTCCCTCATAGAACCGTAAATTCACCATCCCCACCACCCATCTCCACTATCAATTACCACGTACCGGGGGTAAAGTGGCTCGGGCTCGGGGGTAAAAAACTGTAAGCATTATGTCCTTCCGCTTAGGGGAAATTGAATTTTTTCGCTACTGGTTTTTATGAGCCACCTCACTCACTCACCTGGCCTTGCGATGCAGCATCTCAGCCAGCGTGGGATTGTCCCTGGCCACATCCGGCGAATTGTCCACAATCACATGCGAGTACTCGTCGCTGACCAGGTGCTTCTGCAGATCCACATAGCGATCGTGTGGCACGGGCTTCCGGGTGGATATGGTGCCCGATGTGCCGGGTCCAGCTGCTCCGCCCGAGGCTCCGGCAGCCGCATCCTGGCCACTGGTCGCCCCGCCACTCTGGCTGGCCGCCGCCTGCGTGGAGGCCTCCTTGGAGCCCGAGGAGTTGCTGCAATAAAAGCAAAAGTAAACGAGAGTAACTGTGTTAAAAGGAGACGCATTAAAAATGGAAGGGTAAAAAATGTGCCATAATTAGCGGAGTCCCCAAAGACGGGTGCACTTGACAATGGTCTCTAACTCTTTTCCTCTGGGGTGGGCTCTCGTTGCTAATTGCAACTGCCAAGTGGCCCACTGGCTTTTAGTGGCAGCCATCGAGCTGAACTGAAGCAACCTAGACAGCTAAGTGCCCCCTGGCCAGGCTCCCAGAGACACGCACTTGCAGGTAAGCTGAAACTTTGTCAGCTTGGGTTTTAGTTGCGTTTATTTAAGACGAACCGCCACCCGACATCCACCCACTAGCCCAGACACACATGGGACTCTTCACTCGACTGCAATAAACTGAAATTGCAGGCACTTCAAGGGGCCCAACCACATGCCACATAAGACTAAACAGTGGCTGCATTATGGGGAGCATTTGCCATAATATCTAGGATTTGAGATTTTTTATGAGTGGTTTAGTAAGACAGTCTTAGAAAATTACGAAGACCCCACCACTTTTATTACTATAAAAAAACCTTTATTAAAAAAGGAAATGCTCTGACTAAGAAATTGTTTATTGTTTTAAGATTGCATATATTTAGCCCACATAACACACATACTTTGGAACTGGTAAATATTAAACCTATTTTATCCATTTTTTATAAGAAGAGATCTTAACTTCCTTTCAGTATTTTGATCATTTCATATATCATAACATTTTCTATATTTTTTCCTCATATTTTCCTTATACAACCCACTGTCCTTGTGCTGTGGTAATCAGCAGCCGTTTAGACAGCGCCTGCTTCAGACAAAAAGAGTGCTTGAAAAATGAATTAAAGTTTTTGAATTTGTTGCATCCATTTTGCTAGCCTTGACTCTTATAAGCGCTTGGCGAAATGCTCGAGATTTAACCAGGTTTTGGTCCTGGTCCCCAATCCCCATCCCCCGACTCCTCCCCCAGCTCGTTAGCATACATATGCCCCCCGGGTGGCAAACCTAGAATTATGTGGCAGTTGTGTGACCATTAGGCCGAATGACAGAACCAGCTGCCAACGAGGCACTCGTGAGCTGAACAGGCTGAACGGAGTGCACATCATTAGGCCAAAATCTCGAAATTTGAGTTTTTCGTAAATTGTCATTTTCTCAGAATATATATTTTTTTAATTGTATCCCAAGTTTTTTGGGGCGAAAGTCCTGCCTGTGTCTGTCTGTCTGCGTCTTGTCTTATCCGTCAGGCAGACAGGTGTTTCTGTGCACATGTGTGTGATGCCTTGGGAGAATGCAAAACTTTTTCAATTAACAGTTGCCAGAGAATGTCTGGGCCGAGACAGCAGATAGGCCAACAGAATGAAGAGTGGTAAAATGGGTAAAATGGCAAAATGGCAACGGCAAGCCGAGAAGCTGTCAACATTATGTCCCCCAGGTTGGATGAGACAATATATCTCTGGGTCTCTGGGTATCTGGGCGCCAAAGCGGCTTTCCCAGTGCTCCGAGGCTTATTAAAGAATTTTCCGCCGTAACGAGCCTGGGCGGATTTCGCACTCGCGTTTTATTGGCAGCCGCATAATGCCACTTTATGTGCTAATAAGTATTTAAATCCCCCCTTTTGTACATCCACTTGCAGGAGGAGCTCTTCTCGCGCTTTGTACTCGCTTTTATTTATGGGGCTCGTTCAAAAATGATTTTCTGATACAGAGAATATGGCCCTATTTGGTGGCGATGCTACTATATGGCACTATATAGCTGCACTGATCGATGTGCAGCGCACTTAATTACACTTTGGCGAAACTTTGCTCATTAAAGTGTCACGTGGTGTGCGTAACGCTGGCCACATAAGCTGCCCCATGTGCTGCGGTTAATTAACCAGTCAACTGCAACTGTAATGGCAATAGACGGGTCTGCAACAACTGCAGCGACAACAGGGCGGCCACAGGATCATAGGTGAAAGTTTATGCAAGTCGAAAGCGATGACACGGTCCTGGGGTTAATGGACGGGTTTAACGGAGTCCTAATTGGATTTCAGTGAAGTACTTTCACATGCCATCTGTGCTGTATCCAAACACGTCAAGATCCTGAATATGAACATCGTTCAAAGGAAAACTTAAATGTAGAAGTTTATAGAATTCAACTACACAGAGAAAATTCTGACGTTCTAATCTGAGTTGAAAATGTTCTTAAAAATAGAACGACATTTTTAAGTTGAAAATGTTTTTATTTTGCTCCAATCAAGTTGAATTGGCGGTATTTAAGTAAATTGTATGTACAAATAAACTATTAGTTCCGTCCTTAGTGTATACTTATCAAAAAGTTGTTAAATAAACTCAATTTAACTTTTCTCTTCTCACCATTTCGTTCTTATATTGATACCAAAATGTACTTACACGGTTTTTAAGAACGAATGTTCTCAATTCAAGAACAATGTTCTCAATTCAAGAATAATGTGATCAATTCAAGAACAATGTTCTTAGATAGTTTTCTCTGTGTACAAACTCATAGAGGTATTCCGCGTCTAAATCGGGATCAAACAACTAAAGACTTGAAATGTAGAAGTTCAGTTTTGGGTTCCCAGACTGAAAGCCATTGGAAATACGGAAGTCTCGGATATGAAAATGGTCTAAAATTTTGACCCTCCCTTAAAAGAAAAATGTTAATGCAGAAGCTTAGAGAATTCATCCACAAACTCATAGAGATATCCCACGTCTAAATCGGTAGCCAATTACTCAAGTTATGGAATCCAGAAGTTGAGATTTGGGTTCCCAGCTGAAAGCCATTGGAAATACGGAAGTCTCGGACATGAAAATGGTCTAAAATTTGGACCCTCCCTTAAAAGAAAAATTTAAATGTAGAAGTTTAGAGAATTCATCCACAAACTCATAGAGGTATCCCACGTCTAAATCGGTAGCCAATTACTCAAGTTATGGAATCTAGAAGTTGAGATTTGGGTTCCCACACTGAAAGCCATTGGAAATACGGAAGTCTCGGACATGAAAATGGTCTAAAATTTTGACCCTCACTTAAAAGAAAAATTTAAATGTAGAAGTTTAGAGAATTAAGCTACAAGCTCATAGAGGTATCCCACGTCTAAATCGGGTGCCAGTTACTCAAGTTATGGAATCTAGAAGTTGAGATTTGGGTTCCGAGACTGAAAGCCATTGAAAACACGGAAGTCTCGGACATGAAAATGGTCTAATATTTTGACCCTCCCTTTAAAGAAAAATTTAAATGTAGAAGTTTAGAGAATTCATCCACAAACTCATAGAGGTATCCCACGTCTAAATCGGGAACCAATTACTCAAGTTATGGAATCTGGAAGTTGAGATTCGGGTTCCCAGCCTGAAAGCCTGAAGTATAGGACATGAAAATGGTCTAAAATTTTGACCCACCCTTAAAAGAAAAATTTAAATGTAGAAGTTTAGAGAATTCATCCACAAACTAATAGAGGTATCCAACGTCTAAATCGGTAGCCAATTACTCAAGTTATGCAACCAAGAAGTTGAGATTTGGGTTCCCAGACTGAAAGCCATTGGAAATACGGAAGTCTCGGACATGAAAATGGTCTAAAATTTTGACCCTCCCTTAAAAGAAAAATTTAAATGTAGAAGTTTAGAGAATTCATCCACAAACTCATAGAGGTATCCCACGTCTAAATCGGTAGCCAATTACTCAAGTTATGGAATCTAGAAGTTGAGATTTGGGTTCCCACACTGAAAGCCATTGGAAATACGGAAGTCTCGGACATGAAAATGGTCTAAAATTTTGACCCTCACTTAAAAGAAAAATTTAAATGTAGAAGTTTAGAGAATTAAGCTACAAGCTCATAGAGGTATCCCACGTCTAAATCGGGTGCCAGTTACTCAAGTTATGGAATCTAGAAGTTGAGATTTGGGTTCCCAGTCTGAAAACCTTTGGAAATACGGAAGTCTCGGACATGAAAATGGTCTAAAATTTTGACCCTCCCTTAAAAGAAAAATTTAAATGTAGAAGTTTAGAGAATTCATCCACAAACTAATAGAGGTATCCAACGTCTAAATCGGTAGCCAATTACTCAAGTTATGCAACCAAGAAGTTGAGATTTGGGTTCCCACACTGAAAGCCATTGGAAATACGGAAGTCGGACATGAAAATGGTCTAAAATTTTGACCCTCCCTTAAAAGAAAAATTTAAATGCAGAAGTTTAGAGAATTAAGCCACAAACTCATAGAGGTATCCCACGTCTAAATCGGTAGCCAATTACTCAAGTTATGGAATCAAGAAGTTGAGATTTGGGTTCCCAGACTGAAAGCCATTGGAAATACGGAAGTCTCGGACATGAAAATGGTCTAAAATTTTGACCCTCCCTTAAAAGAAAAATTTGAATGCAGAAATTTAGAGAATTAAGCTTTAAACTCATAGAGGTATCCCACGTCTAAATCGGAATATAATAGCTCAAGTTATGAAATCTAGAAGTTCAGATTTGGGTTCCCAGTCTGAAGGCCATTGGAAATACGGAAATCTCGGATATGAAAATGGGTTAAAATTTTGACCCTCGCTTTTAAGAAAAACTTTAGTTTAAAAACTTAGATAATTTAACCACAAACTCGTAGAGGTACCTCACGTCTAAATCGGTATCCAATAGCTTGAGTTATGGGATTTAGTTGCCAACGGAAATACGGAAAATTGAACATGAAAATAAATCATCTTTAAAAGGAGAAGCAAAAGAAATGATTTAAGTTTCATGTATATCATTTTTCAATTAGCCATTATGTTTGAATAATAACGATCTAATGAGTGATTTACGATTTCCATTTTGGGATTATGAGTTTTAGTATTGACTGCAATAAAAATATTGTAAAACTCCCAATTCTATTATGCTGATTTTAAGCAAGAAAAATATATAAAAATGTAATCCCTAGAACCTCAGTCAGCTGCACCCACATTAATTAAAAAAGGGTTAAGAAACTCTCTGAAAAAAGCAGAGGCTACAAAAAATAAAGATTGATAACAGCCCAAAAACGAGAATCATCACTGAAAATGAATTTTCCCTTGGCTGCCTGGACGGTGAACATTTTACACCATTTGCAGCATTGCCAAGTTGCTGCCTCAGTTTTCAGTTTTTAATGAAATAATTAAAAAATTATAAGGCGGAGGAGAGAAGTGGAGCCGAGGAGACAAGACATGAAATCAGGGGCGTCTGAAGATGGAGACGGGCAAACATTTGATGCTTAAATAGAATTTATTACGCTTCACAGCCGCGCTGCACGACTCAGTGCATGGAGGCATCATAATTTTGCATTTGCCATGGCGCATAAGTAGATAGCAGGGGCTTTTCGGTGCCCCTGATGGGTGGTTCTGGTGGGAAAGATGGTATGGCATGGGATGGTATGGGGTATCCCTCAGACGCAGCAAATACGAAGGAGCGGTTTCCGAAGGCATTCATTTTACGGGGCTGCTGGCAGGCGGCTTATGAATTAATTAAATATTTACTGGCTAAACATTGGCGTTTTATGTTGCCGGAATGGAGCGGCAAACGGAACCGAACCAGCCGGGATGTGGGGATGTCGGGATGCCTCGTTGCCGGGATGCGATGGAACCGGAGTCGTTTGCTGCACCTGGGAGGAAGTGGAGCAGTCCTGCGAGGACCCGGAGGGAAGGATGGTCTTAACAGTTTCCCTTGCGCCTTGCTGCGTCATTTTGATGTTTTATTACTCGACTTCCGCCAGCAGCAGCAAAATGGCGGCCGAGACCATCACCGCCCCCAGGATTTCAGCCGGGCTTTCACCCAGGCTCTCACCATCCACTTTCACCCACCGCACGCAACGCAAAAAGTGGCCAACACAAAAAAAAATGAAGTGTTCAAAAGGTAAAACGTCTGTATATATTCTCTATGGCAAAAGGCATTAACATGACGCTCCCGTGCTTGTACCTCCTTTTTTCCTTGTGCTTCCCAAGAAGTTCGCCCTGCTGGGCCTGGGTTTATGTTTTGTAGCAATTTACGTTTTAATGTCGGGGCCAACCAAGTTTTATTGCAACTTTTGTTGCATTTCAGCTAAATTGAATTATGTACCCTGCCGTGTTCGAGTCGCCTCGGGGCACCAAACCAAGAAGGGCTGTTTGCCGGAGTCAATGGCCCGACCCCGTTTGCGATTTGTGCATAATTTTTAATCCCCCGGAATGGCCAGTGGTGCTACGGTTGCTTTGGTCAGACTTGGAAATAGTAAATCTCAACACGCTGTTTTCCACTCCTAGGGGGCTCAAAGCAAAACGCGGGAAAACGCATTGAAATAGTGTTATATGGTTTATGGTCTCTCTGAATTGGTATAATTTTCTAAATTTTTGTGGTGGCCCTTAATCCCATAAAAAATGTTTATTGTAATAATCAAATGTTCTGGAAATGTATAACAAAATTACCATTTAATTTGTATTATAAGTAGTGCGTAGCAAAATCCTCCTCGTTTTAAAAGTATAATAAACAAGGAAGAACGCTATAGTCGAGTACCTCGACTATCAGATACCCGTTACTCAGCTATATGGAGATATGCAAGCAGCAAAGCGAGATTAAAATGCGCCACCTACCGGCGGTATACAGATTTAAGCGTTATGGGCGTTAGAGTGGGCGTGGCAAATTTTTTTTTGGATCAATCGATAGGTATCGACGAGACCAATACATTTCAGTTAAAATTTTTTATCTAGCATGAAAATTGTGGGCGTCACAGGTTTTCGCGGTTTGTGGGCGTTAAAGTGGGCGTGGCAAACTTTTTTTTGGGTCAATCGATAGGTATTGATGAGAACAATACATTTCAGTTAAAATTTTTATTCTAGCATCAAAACTGTAGGAGCCACAGTTTTGGGCGGTTTGTGGGCGTTAGAGTGGGCGTGGCACTGTGCTGAAACAAACTTGCGCTGCGCAGGAATCTCAGGAATCTGCGTGCCTAATCCCAGTATTGTAACTCTCATAGTTTCCGAGATCTCAGCGTTCATACGGACAGACGGACAGACGGACAGACGGACAGACGGACAGACGGACAGACGGACAGACGGACAGACGGACAGACGGACAGACGGACATGGCTAGATCGACTCGGCTAGTGATCCTGATCAAGAATATATATACTTTGTGGGGTCGGAAACGCTTCCTTCTGCCTGTTACATACTTTCCGACGAATCTAGTATACCCTTTTACTCTACGAGTAACGGGTATAAAAATTCTCAGGGCCTTATGGCACTCGCTAGATTTTTTTTAATGCTCATGGCAACCTAGAGAAAGGATCTAAAGCTTATCACTATTTTTTATGAATTTATATATTCAATCTTGTTAAGCCAATAATAAAGAAACATGCAAGCAAACATATTTGTATATTTTAATTTACAACATATTTTGTAGCTTAATCTTTACTAACCTAATTTCCATATGCTTATGCTTCCGATGACTCTTAACAAACTGAGCCAAATTCCGGCTACCTTATGCTTGCACTAATGCCTCATTAATTTAATGAGGGTCAGCTTTCATTACAATACTCCTCCTTAACCCCATGAACGAACCCCCATTCCGTAGGTATCCGCTGATTAATGGCGGGACTGGAGCAATAGATGGGTCAGATTTTGGGTATAATAGCACGAGAACGTGGACTTACCTCTTCTGCAGGAATTTGCGCTTGAACTCGTGCAGCATTCCACCGCCGCCCGTGGCATCGTAGTCGTTGCCCAGGCGGATCTTCTGGTGCTGCTGCTGGAGCAGGTGGCGATTGGCCACCCCGAAGTCCATTTGCACATCGACGATGAGGAGGAGGGTGAGCAGGACGAGGGTGGCGCCCAGGCTGATGACCAGGCGCTCCTTCAGTTTCATAGTACGCAGGACGGCCATGATGGGATTTGTGTTGCAACTGGGGTTGCTTGCAGCAGAAAATGCTCCTTGATTGCCGTTTGCCAAGGGTGCGGGGGCAATCTTCTCCTGGTTTCGCCGGTTGCTCGATCCAAAGCTGCGCAGCCTGGTAAGCCAGCCAAGATTGCGTCCGTTGGCCCCACCAGCAGTTGGCTGGGTATCACTGCTGATTTCCTTGGCCGCCTCCTGAGCTTGTGGATTACTGCGCGTGGTGCGCACTATGCGTCGCCTGACGACAACACGGCGCTTGGGTGCTGCCTCCTCCGGCTCCGAGTCTGGGTATAGTACTCGATCCGGGGGCAGCTCCTCCTCCTGCTGCTGCTGCTCCGCTGAGTGCTCAGCTTCAACTGGAGCTCTCCCGCCGAAGGGGTTCCCTTCGAGGTTCCCCTGTACCCTTGCCCCTGGCCAATTGGCTACGCCTATTTGTTCAGCTGATAAATGGTCGATATCAGTGCTCGATTGTTGTTCTTGTTGCAATTGCAATTGCTGGCGGTATCGAAAGCGCTGCAGGCGCTCTGCCAGCGGCGTCGTCGACTGAGCTGCCGCTGCCGCCGCCGGTCGATAGCTGCAAAAAAAGCGGGAAATTTCATTAAAAAACCAATGAAAATTCAAGGGTGCCGGTTAGTGCGATGTGCAAGTTCCCTCGTGATAGGCAATCAAAATTCAATTAAGTTTTCATGACTTGAAGGGTCTGAAATGAATGGAAAGAGGTCGCAAAACAAATTCCAGTAATCCCCGAAAACTAAAGCCCACAAAAATATCTACATAAAAGCGATCTATGGAAACAGTTTTTGTTTTTAGAAATTAAAAACATGTTGAATAAAAAATGCAGCCCTTAACAATAAAAGGCAAACACTCTCAAAAATGGGTCGAATACAATCAAAATAGTTGAATATAAATTAAGTATAATATTGATTATTAATTAACATTCAAAGAAATTGATTTATCTTGCTATGGCTAAAAATAAATCAAAATATATTTAAAACTCACAATGGTCTAATTAGCAGAAATTTATGACAAAGCCTAATACTAATAATAGGACAGAAAATCGTCATAAAAATCAAATCCGAAACATTTCACCAGACAAAAATCCAATTATTAACGAATAATATTTTATTCTCGCACTGCCAATTTGATATCACAAATTGATTTTTCATTATAAATATTTATTTTTTCAATTTCAATGCATAAATTTCAAATTTTTCAAGGTTCGCGTCGTTGTGTTGATAGTGTCATTTCTGTGATAAGCTATTTGTGTTTATTTTTCAATTGGCTGATTCTTTTCGCTCGCTCTACATTTTGCATACTACCCCAAACCTAAACCATAACGAGCTTCAAAAATATGAACCTTTGGCCATTTTGTAGTTCGTATTTTGTGTCTGGCGCTGGTTATTCATAAAGCGGCGTCGGCAGCGGCGTCACGGCATCCGCCATGTTGACTGGCACCGGAAATGCGACAGCAGCCATTTTTTTTATTCGCCGGCCACCGTTATCGCCGCTCTAGCGTGCTGCTGTTGTTTTTGCTATTGCTGTGCTGCTAGTGCCATCAAGTTGGCCGTTGTAGTTGTATTTTATTGTCTCCATTTTTATTGTTCATGTTTTTTGCCGGCCCACGTAGCATGAAGCATATTTTGCAGGGCTCGTTGCGAGTTCCAGTCGGAATTTGAATTGTAACTACAACAGGAAGAGCTGGTTGGTGCCAGGATCTGGAATAGCATAGCATAGCGTATAGCGTATACTGGATAGTGGATAGTATAGCGGAATTGTGGAATAGGACCTGCAAAGTGGCCGTTGTCTATTTGGACGGCTGGCAAGCTAACGAAGCTTGTTGCTGCCCTGTTTTCTGCCCACATGCAGAGTCAACACTCGGGATGGGCCACTCGCTCGACAACTCGACGACTCCGCGACCGAAAATTGTGGGCAAAAATATCTGTTGAATTGCCCCGGGCAACGAATGCCGTAACTGCATTAAATGTGACCAAAAATGTTGGAGTTTTTAGGTGCACTTGGAAAAAAATTGGGGCTTAGAAAGGGAAATAGTTTCCAGTTTTATAGATTTATTATTTGTGGGAACCCAACTTACAAGGCACAGGCAACCCTTACATTATATCTAAAGGATAAACCATTTAGACAGGAATAAATTATTTTAAAACCCATGTTTATTTAAGGTACACTTTAAAAAATCAACCCTTAAAGTATATCCAAAAAAGGAGAACACGAATATATGATGTTTCGAACATTATCTTATAAAAGATATTCGAGTCAACCCTTATAATCTGATTAAATTATAGACCACTTAAATTTGCTATGAAATCGATGGAACCTTTAAAGAATCCTTGCAACAAATGCATATAATTTCTGAGGTTTTTATTGATTTAAGGTAAAGTAATTATTTTAAGTGCATATTCTGTATGAGCTGCAAATTGAATGCGAAACCCTTTGATTGACAGGCCTACCGATATGTTGCTGACGTAACTCGGCTCTACAAATTAAACGTCAAAATCGTAGGCAAAAATGCTGATTACAAGCGGATCTGATGTGTAGGAATAAAATGACAGGGGCGGCACTAAATTGGCAAACAAAGGGCGGCCCGAAATATATGGCCGAGCAGCAGGAGGATCAGGATCAGGAGCAGGAGCAGGAGCTCTGCTGCCATGTCAATCAAATCACATATCATGCCAATTTTCCATGCAGGTCCTCCAACCCCCACCCCCCGTTCTGTTCTGCTGGATGAAACCCTGGCAATTGCTCATATCCATGACGAGATGATTTGACAGTCGCAGAGTGGGCGTGGCCAAGGGGTTAAGGCCAGACAAAAGGGGGTGGGGTTGGGGTTGGGGGTTATGGATGGGTGTTGGGCTGGTGTTACATAAAGTACGTGTACAAGGAACTCGAGTGAAGAGACTTTGCTCGGCCAAACACAATGGCATCTCCCGCGTTGGCAACATCAATGGGCAGTCAAATGCAAAGCACATACGTAATCCAAAGGGGGTGGTGGATGGGGCGGGTAAAGCGTCATCCACACACAAGTTTTCCCTATCAGCCGGTGAGGGCGATAAGCGCTATGGCAGTGACAACTGAAAGTATGAGCACATGAAGGGCGAACGCAGTTAACAGCAATTGCTGTCGTCGCATTTTGTTGTTGCTTGATAAAACTGCTGCGTTGCATTAAATTAAACTCATGCGGTGTATTTAAACGCCGCATCGTCGAGGGTCTAGGGTCTACGGTCTACAGTCTACAGTCTGATGGCTTTGGTCTGGAGTCAGCTAAGAGGGCAGACGAGTGGGGTCGGGGGGGAAAACAGCACCAGCAACATCCACGGCATCGTTTTAATGCAATTGCTGACAGCAGCAACAACACCGCCAGTGAGTGACAGCAATTTCCTTTCCAATTTGCGCTTTGTTTTTATTAATCAGACATAAAAAAAAAACAAAAAGACACTGGCAAAGAAAGCGAAATGAGGCGAGATGTACTTAAATGAGCTCTGGGGGCAATGAAGTGCAAAACAATTTAGAGCCCAAGATGGCAACGAGTTGGGGGCATATAAAGAGGATGCATTAATATTCCGACATATTAATCAGTCAAGTTCAAAAGACTCTGAAACAAAAAAAATAGTTGTGGGAAGAGAAGAAAGAAAGGCACTATTTTTGTAAAGTGCAGAGGTCCGAAAGATGAACATATTTCATTTTATATTCTTACGAAGACTTAAGACTAATATGGGTCTCAGTCTAATAATTTTCATTAGATCCAAGACATTTGAAACAAAGTACTTTATTTTTATAAGAAGAATGGGAATACGAAAGATATCCTGTACTTTGATATGTTATGTTATATGCACTTATATTCTCAATTCTCAGACCTTATATTTGTCATTTAACAATGCATTTGCCATCCCTCAAAATCATTTATAATCCAAACTAGAGTTCTCTGAACCAAACTAGGTTATCGGAAACCGGTTATCGATGCATTTCACTGGGCAATAAATCAAACTCCCTTTCAATCAAACTTGACAAATGCCTTTCCGCTACCTTTCTCCAGCTCAATTAGCCTTCATCGGTCAACGAACTGCATGCTTGTTATTATATAGTAGTGCCGCACTTGAATCGGAGCTGTGGGACCCCCTCTATCACTCCCCCTTCACCCATTTGCTCTGCTTGATTGCACTTGGGGGGATCCCCTTTCGTTTCCCCCTCGAAAAAGCCCTTGTAAATTTGTTGTTAACAAATTCAATGCGTAACCCGCTTGAAACTCAGCTCGATTCGAATCAAATCGGCGATTGTGCAACAGCTTGAAATGACACGCTCAGTGCATCCGCCCCGTTGGCCCGCGTGACCTGGCCACGCATCGGTGGCACTCGAGAATTCCGCTGGTCGGGGGCTTCGATTCCGATTCCGATTCCACAAAAGACCCGACTTATTGATCGATTTGTTGCCACACTATTAGAGCGGTTTGCACTTGAGCTGCTTACAAACTGTTGCCAGTGCAACTGTTCGCCTTATCGACCCAATCGAACGGGCCAATCAATCGCGATGCGATGCGATGCGATGCCAATTGCCATTTGCCATTCGATATGCAAATGTTGGCCAAAACTGTTGCAGCCGGTTGGAATTGAGGGTGTCAAGGTTAGTTTGGCTTACACGTTTGGCTCATTTACATGGTTCCATCCAGCTAAACTTCAGCAAATTGCGGAAGGAGGTGCTTTCGCAAAAGGGAAAAAGGGAAAATGGAAAATAGAAAAGCTAAACGCAGTTTGGGTTAGTTGCCTTTCTGGCTTTTCCTTTGCCTGGTGGCTCGCTCGTCTCCCTTTTGTCAATTTACCTTTGGCTGTGCAAACTTTCGCGCAACTCCAAATCCCACTGGTCGTCTCGGGAAAATCCTCCTTCTTGCCGCTGCAGTTGCAGGTGATTCAATGGCAGCGATTTCTCAGCAGATTTGCCCCAGGTCATTTCATTACCAAAGTCAACAGAAGTGTCCTGGTTTTGGTATAGCTCCTGGTCCTCCTCGTCCTGCTGTTCCTGCTCCTCCTTGCTGTTAATAAAATTTTCCAGCTGGCTCGTTGACTTCCAGTTTTTGTTCTCCATCGGAGTCCGGCTCATTGCCAATTCAAATGCACTCTGATGCCAGCCATTGTGCGATGTCCTGGGAATTACCTTGGCTGCATAGGGAGTGGGCTCGTTATGGTCCTGCTGATCCTGGCCATTGTATTGTCTCACTGCCGATTGATTCGCAGTCATTGGCAATTGATTTATGCCCATGGCGTAATCATCGAAGCTATTGGAAGTGGGCAGCAGCCGCATCTTCCCAGCCATCTTCCCACCCATCCCTTGATCGTCAACATCCTGGCTGCCAATCCTCTGGAGCGAGAAGCTGCTCTGGCTGCGGCTCCTTTGACCAGCTTCCTTCTTTTTGGGCGCAAAGAGATTCCGGATGCTGGCATTCCGCTGCCTTAAATCCACTTCGCTGCCGCCTGACTTAACCTGTTTTTTTTTTTTGGTTTTTTTGATGGAGAAACGCGGTAATTGTAAATGGAAAGCTCTTGCCCAATTTTCTGTGTTCATGCTCAAGCAATGGCAAATCGTTGCGGGGTTAGTAGAATCGAACAGGGAACTTTGAACGGGGCAGAACAATTGTTATCTTACAGATAGGATAGTGCCAAACCAACAATAATTTAAGCCATCATCGCAACTCAACTCAACTCAACTCAATGGAACTCAAGTAAAAACCAAACTCGGGGGTGGGGGGGAAAACTCATGGCTCAGAGGACAATGCTGGGTCAACTCGGCGCCCTTTCATAATCGGATGAAAACATTTGTGGAGTGCTACTTACACTCGTCCTCGAGGCAAGTGACATTGAATGAGGCGGACTCGAGTTGGCCAACTAGGAGACTTTTCCTCTTCCTGCCGAGAGGGTCATCAAGTGGATGTGGAGCGGCGTTTTGGCCCTGCCGATTTTTCCTCGCTTTTCCTCAAGTTTCTCAAAAGCTGGATGAGTCTATTCTGCTGTGTGGGTGTGTGTATGTGTGTGTATAAAGTGCAGGCTGGAAAACCCACAGGGGGGGCATGAAAATTTCAAAAACGTTAGACAGATTAGCATAAGCGGATAATTCCGGAAAAACACAGCAATGGCAACGACAACAACAGAAGCGAAGAGGCAGAAAAAAGCGTTTCGAATCCCAAAGAGAAAATGGACAGCATGTGTGAAGCGTTTAAGTGCTGATGCTGCTGGGTGGTTGGGTTTGGTTTTTCCTGATTCTCAGGGAAATTGGGTGGGAAAACTAAGGCCAAAAACGAAAGCTCTTCTCCGGCACTTCTTCCAGCTGAGTGGAAACTGAGCAAAAAAAAAAGTGGATGCAAAAGGAAAATCCGGCAATATCTTGAAGCTCAGATATTTCGTGTTTACCAAATACCAACAGCCAGTCACAGATGGAAAATGCGTGGAAATATGGCTTTCAAACAATTTTCGACTATGTTGCCTGCATATTTCCCTATTTACGCTAAGCAAAAGTCAACAGGGCGGATCAGCAATGTCGCTGAAAGTTTATATCCGAAAATGTGCGAGTTTCTTGGGCAAATAAATAATGAATATTTGGCACTTTTAACTTTATTAAATTCTTCATTTCCGTTTAAGTAAAAGAAAAATAACGATTTTATTTTCTCTCCTTTTAAGCAATCAAAGATATATGTTCTAAGACCTTTTTGGCCTAGTTCACTTTATGCCCATATGTGGCATACCGAAAAAGGAGCTTTAATGATGAATGCTACCAAAAATGCATTTTACATTCTGTGCCAGGCTGTTGTCCATGGGGGGTTTTCCCTGCCCTGGGAAAACTGTTTTCCCACAGCTTGCTTTCCCGCATCGAGTCTCTTTTTACTCGCTCCTTGGCATTGACATTTTTCAGCTGCAAGACAGGAATACTTTCCATTTTTTTTACCCCCTTGTGTGTGTGTGGTTTTTCAGCCAAAATAATCAAAAGTGGTTGGGGACTGATGGCGAAAGGAAGAAGATTCCTATCCGATGCAGCGTTACATCTGTTTTGTTTGTCCTGGGAAGGAGAAAGAAAGGACAAGGACGAAGAAAGGGGCTGAAAGGAGTGGGGATATGGCCACAAAAAATTGCATGTCAAGTGAAATTACTTGTTTGCCAAAGAGAAACGGGTTAGGAACAGGGAATGGATGCGAAGGATACGGCTTGGTATGACAACTGCAGCCCACGTACACTCACGCACTGGCACACACATAAACACTGTGCACACTATACACACTCGCTTACATGTGTGCAACAACAATGCCCCTGTGAGTCCTGCGAGTCCTGGCTGAGACTTTGATATATACGCAGACGACACTTCGATCTGCCGGGATATGCGGCTAAGCACGATAAATTGAGATGAATGTCTGGCATGCAGCTAAGTCTCTACAGCTATCTGTCTATATATCTATCTATCTATCTATCTATTCGTCTATATATCCGTCCGGGCAGCTCAATGCGAGTCATCTTATGCTCTCCGCACTTGACACATTCCGGGAAAAGTGCATTTGCCTGTTGGCTGTCTATCTTTCTCTCGCTCCTGGCCAAGCCATTTTTCTGGGAGTGCCCTGTATGCGTGGGATGCAGGGGTATTTTGGCACAAAGAGATTCAGTTAATCAGAAAAAAAATTTTAACGAATATTTTATATCCTTTAGATGCGATTTCTCAATGTCATGTTAACTTTTGACATGATCTAAAGAAATATATTTTAGGAATCGTGTGATAACAGATTTTGAGAAAACGAATATGTCTATCCAAGCAGGTTAACCTCATGCTAACTTGATCTGAGAGATAATAATATTGAAGCTTAACATGACATTGAGAAATCGGATCTTCTGTTTAAGAACGCCTCTTTATGATAGCAGGAAACTGAATTTAAGGTCGTTAACCCAATCCATTCGAATAAGCTATAGAAAAATCCCCTAATTACAGGGTATTATTTGAACAAGCAGGTTTTTTTTTCGTTCAGTTTTTAACGCACGGTCGTCTAGACACATCGTTTCGCAAGCGAGGGTGGCAGCTATAAATATTCGGAAATGTATTCCACTACATATGGGCCATAAAAATCCACTCCCGACCATTTTAACTTTTATTCCCATTCGCAATCCCGTCGAGAATCCCGTCTTCGACTCTCGGCGTGGAGCCATTAAAATGCGACACGCATTGGGCCTGCTGCAGTGCATTGCATTGCATAATTTAAAGCGTGCGGGAGTGAGCCGGAAAGTTGGCATAAAATATTCATTTAAAATGCAGCACGCAACACTTTGGCATGACGCATTGCTATACCATCATCCATCCATCCGAAACCACCCATCGCCCACCGCCCACCGCCCACGCATTTAATTGCGGGCGTTGCAAATGCAAATGTCACAGAACCGAGGCGACATTTGCATGCCGATGACAGGACTCCACTGGACGTCCACTGGCCATCCGGCGGGGAAAGCAAATCCTAATCCCATGCTGTGACCGGCTGGGGGACAAAGTGACAAAATGACTGACTGCCTAACCGACTGACTGACAGAACTGACAGACTTGACACGTGCCCGTGTGTTTGGGAGGCGTAACCATTCGAACTGGCAAACAATGAACTAATAACAAGAACTTACCCAATTCAAAAGGCACGCCGGAGGATTCTCTGCACATTCATCAACTGTAAAATAATGAAGAAACGCTGTGATTAGCATTCGGAATTGATAAACGAGCACTTATAATGGTAGCTACAACATCAAATGGCAGATGGAAATCGAATAACTTTGCATAATCAATGCTCCCCAGCAGTAAATGAAATGTTAACCAAAGACAACAAGCCATTAGGTCTTGGAATTAGATTGAAAGACAACAACAGCAGTGGAGCAGTGGAGCGAATTCCAATTAAATGGCCCCAGCCGAGGACGTGAAATCAAAGTCCTTGTAGATCATTAGTTGGGCAGGGTTACCACCATTGATTGTATCATCTGCCACCATGACGTGGCATGCCCCAGAGGCCCCGGTCCCTGATAATGCACAAAGGTTGTAGGCGAAACAAAAGCATTCAGAGATGAAAGCGATACGATATACGATGACGATGCAGCTGGCGGCACGATAATAAGCCACACATTAACACACATCGCGATTTAAGGGGAAATCCAAGTAAGTAAGGCCTCCTATCCCTCGCAGACATCGATTGCAGTTCGATCCATTAAAATTATACGCAATTATCCAATTCACTCAACTGTTGCATCGTCGTTGTCATGATTGCCTTGGCCATATCATCCCCACCATTACATGAAGTTTTTCCACTCTACACTTAAGATTATCGATTATCATTACAAGAAAAAATATTAAATATATGTATATATCACATCAGGGATATTGTTACACTGTAAAGTATTATAAAAAAAATGTTTAACTTTATTCAAGAGTTCTAAGACACCATTTATCATAAAAAGAAAATAAAACAATGTTTTCTTTTTATTTCCTCTTGAAGTAATTTTCTCAAGTGCATTCAACAAAAGAAAATATTATGGCTCGGAGGGCTGGGCTATCCAGCCAAGCCATTTAGCTGGCCTGGCCGAAACTCACGTTTTCCAGAGATTATGAGGCCCAGGCCGCAAGTCTCTCGAGTGCCGCACGTTTTGCAATGGGAAAACTCGGGCCAACTCAAACGCCAGTAGGAAAAGCCAGAGAAACAACAACCGAAAAGGGAAATTTTCACGGTGCTCACGTAATTGAATTGCAGTCGGCTAAATTGGCATTTATTATAATAAAAGCAAATATGCAATTTCGCTTTTCACTGGCTGGAAAATAAATAAACGCAGGCCAAGCAGCCGGCCCAAAGAGATTTCAAACGGCTTTGGGACACAAATAAGTGAGACGAATAGGAAACTTATTAAATAATAGGAGGACTTCTCGTGGAGCCACTGAGCTGCACAAAGAAAACTCTCGAGTTCTCGAGTCTTTAATGCCATCAAAAACTAAATTGCAACTCGGTTTGAGGACATCCCCAGCTGACCCACATTGCTGGTTTATTTATATTTATTCGTTCTATTGAGCTGTACTTGCCCACAAATCAACCGCAAAGAAATTCAATTTAAATAAATTATTTTACAATATCAAACCGCAAAGCAAAAAATAAAACTACCAACCTGATGGTTTATATCGAGATAAAAATGTGTAAAGGGAAGGGCAAAACAGTGAGGGCATTGGAAATAAGCAAATTAATCGCATAAATATTTTAAAACTCCCATAGAAATGAAACCGAAAAGCCGGATCTTTGTGCAAAATAATTAATTCACATATTAATATTAGTTTGCTATATTATAAATACATCTCCGGCCATTGTGCGGAATTTAATTTCATTATGGAGCAATGACTCGTTTAATAGGATTTGCATTGCCAACGCCGTTTTGGTTTATGTAGTTAAATTTGCATTATGCCTGCAATAGTATAAAACGAAGATAAATTCTCGCCATGATCATTCTAAGCGATACTATCAAAATTAAACGTAATCGACTTTGCCCCGTTTTCCACCTCTTCCTGATTTTCCAGCTGAATTTCTAGCATTCAATTTGTAATTTTCTAATTATGTGGTTGAACATTTTGGTGTATTGAAAGCAATTACGCTAAATAATTGCACATTCCAGTTGCGTGTATTTGCGAATGGCAGACAACCTCTTCCCTGCTCTTCCCAATTTTGCAGTTCCTGTCCCTAAATAAGTGATGGGTTCCACAAGCCTCTTATATGCTCTTCTGCATACCCTGTGATTTTAAATGAATTTTCCGGGAAATAAAGAGTTGCATTATGCGCTTTAGATAACAAATGTTCTTTGCTGGCATTTGACTATTTTTATCCTCATAAATTCTCTCATATCCATAAGTAATTATAATTTTATTTCATTTAATTTATTGATATTCATTTTTTTTCAACAAAGGCTTTTCTTTGGCTTTGCTAAATTTTGGGAAGCATGAAATTAAATTTGGCAGATTATAAACATAATTTTCAC